CTTTGGATATCTCTTTTGGGGCCTAGAGTTCTAAGCCTTTGCTCCCACTTCACCATTCATGTGGGATGCAACACTTCTCAATGCAACACTGGGGCTTACTGGGCGGCTGACTCTCACTAGAAGGAATCTTATCAGATCAGTGAAGAGGTTGTTGTATAATTTAAATTAGACACATTACTTAAAATGCATAAATTAGTTCTCCCCTAATGTTCTATGTCCCACCTACTCATGTATAACTGGATTACATCTGTATCCTTTGCACAGTCCTTGAGTAGAACACACACATCTACACAGAGTTTAGAAAACACTCCCAGTCCAGCCTAGGTATGCCAAACAGTTGCCTTCTTAACTAATGAGAGTTCACATGCATCCTCAAAGGAAAGGTGCTCTCTCATCTCTACCTGAGGTATTCACTTCCCTGCACCCTACCGTAGGAAAGGAAAGTAACAGAAAGGTCAGAATCAAGGAAACCAGAAATGGTTCATTCCTGGCAGACCAATTAAGAGCTGGTTTCACAAGCCGTATTGCTGGAAACTTTTTATGCCCACTGTAGCAAAGGATTCAAATCTGAATAAAGGACAATGAAGGGAGAAGAGACTTCAGAGCTCAGTAGTGACTGATGAGTAATGACTCTGCTTCCTTGTTCAACAAAATTTATTTACTATTTGTTAAGCATGGGCATGACACTGAGCTAGTRTGGAAATAAAAATGAGAGACAATGATCCTGCCCTACAAATAGTGTTCTTTCTCTTGAAGGGAGTTTAAATGTTTCCCTTTTTATACAAAATTAAACAAAACAAACATACACCAGAAGAATACACTCATGTATTTGCTTGTATGTGTATATAATTTTCTGGCAAGAAACACAAGTGACTAATAACATGCAGTGCCTCCAAGGAGAGAAACTGGGGCAGCTGAGAGACAAAGGTGGAAGACAGACTTATGGCTATGTTCCTATTTATGTAGGTATAAATATCTACCTAAATGGTTGAATTTATATTGGAAAAATAAATTTTCCCAACTTTTGACTGGAATAAAAATCTTCTGAATATAGACAGGTCCAAAAGAGAGTAGCWGCCTTTCAGAGAGGTCCCTAACGTCTCAATGTATGTACTTACACAGATGAGGAAGGGCAAAGGAAATTTTTTGTTTTTGTTTTTAGAATGCATGAATCTAGCTTAAAATTTATTCACATCTCATTTTTGTAGCTATAAGATAGTATCATATTCCTTTTGGGGGATGAGGAAGCTGAGGCTTAAAAAAGTTCAGTGACTTGTTCAGAGTCATGGAGGCTGGGGCTGGGGCTGAGCGACAGCGCACTTGCCTGGCATGTGTGAGGCACTGGGTTCAATTCTCAGCACCACATATAAATAAATACAATAAAGGTCCATCAAAAACTAAAAAAATTAAAAATAATAATAATAAAAAAAGAGTGGAGACAGGATTATAAAACAGGTTTGTGTGATTTTAAGCCATGATGCTTTCTGAAAGATTTCTTACCTTCCATGCCAATGAGCAGCAGGTTAGAGGTCAGCTGCCCCCAGCCACGTTTTCCCTGTTGCTTATTAATCCAGTTCCAGTTAAAACCCAAGAAGTCCATTACGATCTTCCTGCCCACAGTGTCATTGAGTGTTTGCTGCAGATACAACCTACATTCCCCAAGAAGAATATTCCATCAGTGCCTGAACACACACACACACACACACACACACACCTGGCATGACCTCCCCATATCTGGAAATACAAACCCAAATCCACACCACAGCAGCATCTCCCACAGAAAACAGCTATAATCAAGTAATTTTAACCAACATGAGCTGGGTACAGTGGTGCATGCGTACAATCTCAGTTACCTAAGAAGCCAAAGCAGGAGGATCACAAGTTCAAAGCCAATCTGAGCAATTTAAGGAGAACTTGTCTCAAAATAAAAAATAAAAAGGGTTGGGTGATGTAGCTAGTGGTAGAGTACCCCTCGGTTTTGGTTCGATCCCCAGTACCAGAAAACAAACAAAGTCTCATTACATTGCCCAGAACAGTCTTGAATTTGTGGGCTTAAGWAATCCTCTTGCTTCAGCCTCCCAAGTATCTGAGACTAGAGGTATATGCTACCATACCCATCTCAGAAGTGAATTCTAATTTAACTTCTATGAGCTCTGTTCAACATCAACTTTTTAAAAAAATTCTTAATCTTCTGTGTCACAGCATAAATCCTTTAAAAATCCTAGGTTCTCCACAGTGATGTAATCACACACAGAATTTTCACACAATTTCAAATGCCTGGAAGTATTTCCACAAAGGCTAGAATGATGAATCTGCTTTGCTCTAGAGACTCACTCTCAAGGCCTGAAACATCTCCTTTGGCCTGTGATAGCTATGTGGTAAACTATCACYGTTCATCAAAAGCTGGTCCCACCCTGTGGAGAAGTTATTCTTCCATACCTGCTCAAAGCCAGGCATGCTTATTTCACTTGCTTTGGCCAGTGACACATCCAGAGAAGGGACTTATGTTGCTTCCAACCAGAATTTTAAAAAACAGTCTACACTACTCCACATGTGTTTCTGTCACAGCATCTACAAAGTTCCAGGTAGTAGCTACTGGGGCTATTTGGGTCTCAGAGTGAACAATATAATGTAAGAACAAAATGATGTGATACATGATGAACATAGTAGGAGTAAGAAACTGTTGTTGCATTTCCCTGAGATCTGGCTTGAAACTAGTTTATCTTAACTGATCCAACAGTTATCTGTAACAGCATTCAACAGTTGAAGTACAGAGGACACCTCACTGGGTGCATGCCCCAGGTTCCTAACATACCTGAGCAAAGTCACAAATTACTTAAGGGATATAAAAATGTATGCACATTTGATCAAGTTCCATAAGAAACATTAATAAGAGAGCAAATTTGAAGAAGAGAGAGAAGCAGCTCTGTCCTGGTCCTAAGAATGGCAAGCCCCTCAAGGGCTCAAAGACCTCTCACTGCCTAATATCATAATAGTTAAGGCAATATTAATTAGAAATCTTAGTAAGTTGGAAACACTAGCTACATGGAACCATCAAGACTCAAACACAACCTCAGGGTTCTCCCTAAAGATTATCATGTACATATTTACACAAAAAAAATTTACAAGTAACACTTTGAGTCAGGGACACTCCCCAAACATAAACCTAAACAATATTCCTATTATACTTAAACAACCTGAATGGTTATAGTGAAGTTAGTTGGTGTTAAAGTCAACTGATAAGGCAAAACCTTATGGTCATTCACCATGAAGTCTCAATGACTGTAACTGCCCAGAGGCAACCTTACAGAGTGCGAATGAAGGCCATCTGGGACCTATAGAAGATGCTATTCTTTTAAGCTGGAATAAAGGCAGAAGAGAAGAATCATTCTCCTGAATGTTTCTTGTGTTTGCTATCTATCACCAATAACTGTGGAACATCAAGTCTCCCTTCCACTCTGATTTTCTGTAAATGAAGAGTTTCCCAATACCCATTTAAACCAGAATCACAACAAACTATACAACTTTTCATCATGAACTGTCCCCAGTCAGCACAATACTTTAGGAAAAAGGCTGCAAACTGGCTATCTCAGAGCTAAATCCAATGATAGACATTTTTGTTTGGCCCCTGCAGCTTTTGGTTAAAAAAAAAAAAAAAAAAAGTGAGACTACCGCCTACATTTAAAAGTCAAAAAATTTTAAGCAAATAAAAAAATCCTCATTTTGAACCTCTTTGGAAAAATCAGAATATCTAGTAATCTGCAACTGCCCTCCCAAATGGAAACAAGCAAAGTAATAACTTCTCACTTGAACAGAGTACGTGTGTGTGTATGTATATACATATACATACACACACACACACACACACACACACACACACATATGATGACTTCAGCTTTATTAGTTTCCATCCAGACAACTTCACTCATTTCATTCAGCTGCCTGACTCTTCTAGACAACTGTGGCTCTCGCTGTATGAAGAAGATGAGAAACTATTATAAAGATTCACAGCTTAAGTCTAATCATTTTTTCAACCCTCAGGCTAAAAAACTAGCTGGTTATAGTTCCAAGAACAACTAAACCCCCCACAGGACAGAATAGTCAAATATTCACTCGTCAGATATACAGATATGGAAGATACCAATCTCCACTCCCCCAACTCTACCACATCTTCAAACAAGTTCAGAAAGGAAAAACGGATGCCTCAAATCCAGTGAAAAACCAAGATTTGGGAACTTACCTCTCGTCCCCACCTTGCTGCTGTATATCCTGCAGTTTCTCAACAAATTCATGAAATTTCATTTCCTCCCTGTTGGACCTCGGTTTAAAGTTCTGGAAATTAGCCATCTTCTTCTCATCATAGTACAAGAACTTGTGAGTGCTGGCACTGTACACGGAAAAGTCCCCGTTGCCAATATTTTCTTGTAGGTATTCAAGATCCCATTTTAGAGCAGGATACACAAGATTTGTGTCAGTCAGCACTACAGGTTCCTAAGTGAAAACATTGGATGAAAAGAAAGAAAAGAAATCCCAAGGTGCTAGAGAGCTCTCCTCCTATGATTCCAACTACTTCCCAGCTTCATAACAATCTCTCCCATTAAGGAGTACGAACTCCTTAAATCCATTTTTCCTCTCCATCCCCCTTTAAGTCCTAATCCACAGACCGGCCAGTCCCCACCTCTCTCACCATTCGCCCCTGACCTCTCCTCCCAACTTGGTCTCTTTCCCCTCCCACTTTAGACGCAGCCCCGCCCCCCACCTCATTTTCGATGAGCTCCTCCGCCCGGGGGTCTCTCTGACTCAGACGCGGGATGGGCCGGGTCGGGAAGCTATAAGTGCGTAACTGCGATTCATCCCAGGCGGGGCCCAGGGCTTCAGCCTCTTCCTGGGGCTCTCCAGAGCCCGMAGCTGCAGCCTCAGCTGCTGTTGCCGCCATCTCTGCCGCTAGGGACGGCCCCGCCGGAAGCGGAAGCCCCGCCTATTCCGGACAAAACCCACAACGGAAACCATAGAGACGAACTGCAAGAGAGAGCTGTCCAAATACATTCAGGACGCGGCGCAGAGGCCTGGGGGAGCTCCTCCTAAAGGTAACCTATAGATCTGCATCCTAGGCTCCACTCCTGGAAAACCAGAGCTAGGCCTCAGTCCCACGGAATAGGGGTGGTCACCCAGTAAACTAATCCACAAAATATTGTACCTCTGTGTTCCCAGACCTACAGAAGAGACAAAGAAAGAGGAAAGTTTAAGCTTAAACTTTACACGCATAGATGGGGAGAGAAGCACACTTGACCCACCTAAAGATGTCAGAAGGAAGAGCAAATTGCTATGTTGATAGATGTTAGGCAAAGGCTACTTGAAGGTTGAGGCAAAGGATATATGGCAAGTTGAATTCCTTTAAAATCAAGGGAAGAGCTGGGTGTGGTGTTGTGCTCCTGTAGTCCAGCTACTCCAGAGGTTGATACAGAATCTCTTGAGCCCAGGGCAAGCCTGGGCAACATAGTGAGATCCCATCTTTTTAAAAAAATAAATAAAATAAAACCAAGGTATCATTAGATTTTTCTGTCTATGCCACCATCTCTCCTGCTTAATATATTCTTGCCAATGGGAACAGTGTTACTATTAGTGGCCAATCATGGGCCTCTCCCATTTCCAAACAATCTATATTGGTTATAAAAGGGCTTATTAATTACTCTTGCTTACTTAGTTCTTATGGCTGACTGTGGAAGGCCAAATTCTAAGAGGGATCCCAAGATTTACACCCCGTATTGTACATACCATGTATAAATCTCTCCCCTTAAAGGAAAGCAGGACTTGGGAATATGATAGGGTAATACTCTAATAATTAGATAACATTATATGGCAAACATGTAATTAAAGTTCCTAATCGGTTAATTTCTGAGCTAATCAAATGGGAAATTTAGCCTAGGTAGGCCTCAATTTATCACTTAAGCCCTTTAAATCTGGGCCTAGGGCTGAGGATATACCTTGGTGGTACAGCACTTGCCTAATATGTGCAAGGCCCTGGGTTCAATCCCCAGCATCACCCCCACAAAAAAATCTGTGTCTAGAGGTCAGAGACAGTAGAAGGTCAGAGAGATTTGACACCATGTATATCTTCTCTATTTGCTTTAAAGGAGCAAACAGTTATTTGGCAGAGAATGCTAGGTGGTCTCTGAGAGCTAATACTCTTTTTTGGTTGACAGCCAGCAAGTAAATGGAGAACTTAATCCTACAAATGCAAATAACTAAATTCTGCCAATAAATATTGAGCTTAGAGAAGGATACAAAGCCACAAATGACCCAGCCAACATCTTGATTTCAACCTGGTGGGACCCTGAGCTAAGGACCCAGCTAACTAGTACCTGGAATTTAAAAAAAAAAAAAAGAAAGAAAAGAAAGAAAGAATAAACTGGTATTGTTTCAGCTACTAACTTTATAGTTTCTTTTAAGCACCTAAAATAAATTTTAATTTTTATGAAGCAATAGAAACTAACACACTAGCTTAAAACTATGTAATTATGCTATATACTAACTATAATATACCAAGCTGGAGTTATCTCTGAAGAAAAGTTTGGGACTGGGGATGGAAATCAGGCTTTAATTTTTCTGCAATGGTTGCATTTTCACAAGAATATATTAATTTATAACATTGGGAATTAAAAATAAATTAAACTACTGTATGGAAATCAGTATAGAGGTTCCTCAAAAGACTAGGCATGGACCACCATATGACCCAGGTATACCACTTCTTTGTATTTACTCTAAAGAATTAAAGGCATCTTACTACAGTGACACATGTATACACACTGGGAATTGTGCAGCACAATTCACAACAGCCAAACTATGGAACCAACCTAGATGTCCATTGACATATGAAAGAATTAAGAAAATGTATATATATGTATAAAATGTGGTATACATACATACACACACAATGGAGTTTTATTCAAGCATAAAGAAAAAATGAAATGATGGCATTTGCAGGAAAATGGACGGAACTAGAGACCATCTTATTAAGTGAAATAAGTCAAATTCAAAAGGCTAAGGGTACTATGTTTTCTCTCATATATGGAAGCTAGAGAATAAAAAGGAAAATAAAGGTAGGGTGAATCTCCTAAACATCAAAAGGAGACCAGTAAAGGAAAGGGACCAAGAGGTGAAAGCCAGGGAGGCAGGAGGAAAATGCTGGGAAGTGATATTGGCCAAGTTATATTGTTATATTATATGTAACAACAAAACCCATCAATATGTACAATTATAATGCACCAATAAAAATGAGGAAATAAAATATATAAATGAAACCTAGAAGATTCAAATTACTAATATCAGGAATGAAAAAAGCAATATTACCAACTTTACAAAAATAAAAAGGCATATAGAAGGAAATAGTAGGAACAACTGTGTACCAAAAATTAAAGAACCTAGATGAAATAGAAAAATTCCCAGAAAATTACAAACTACCACAACTGACTCAAGAAAAAAAAAAAATAGAAAAATATGAATAGACCTATAATGAGATTGAATTAGAAATCAAAACATATCCCCAAAGAAAAGCCTAGGCCCAGATTGATCATTGATGAATTGTACCAAACATTTAAAAAAGAATTAATATCAATCCTTCACAAAGTCTTCAAAAAAAAAAAAAAAAAAAAACAGAGGAATTTGGCACATTGATGAATTGTACCAAATATTTAAAAAAGAATTAATATCAGTGCTTCACAAAGTCTTCCAATTCATTCTCTGAGGCCAGCATTACCTGGATATAAAAATGAGACAAAAACTTTCCAAGAGAATAATAGACTTTATAAATATATTCTTTTTAAACATATGCAAAAATCTTCAACAATATACTAACAACTAAATCTAGCACCATATATAAAGTGCTACATACCATGACCAAGAGAATTTATTTCAGGAACACAAGGTTGATTCAACATCTGAAAGTCAATCAAATGTAATATATTAATAGGAGAAAACTACACATGATCATCTCAATATACACAGAAGTAGCTTTTGACAAACTTCAATACCCTTTCATGATACAAATAGGGTTCCAAAGGATACCATTGAGAGAGTAAAAAGAAGCCAAATGACTTCGGAGGCTGGGGCAGGAGGATTGCAAGTTCAAGGCCAACCTCAGCAATTTAGTGAGACCTAAGCAACTTAGTGAGACCTTGTCTCAAAATTTAAAAAAGGGCTGGGGAAGCTTGGCACGGTGGCACACCGCCTGTAATCCCAGCGGCTTGGGAGGCTGAAGCAGGAGGATCAAAGCCAGCCTCAGCAAAAGTGAGGCATTAAGCAACTCAATGAGATCCTGTATCTAAATAAAATACAAAATAGGAGTGGGGATGTAGCGTAGTGGTTGGGTGCTCCTGAGTTCAATCCCCATTACCTCCCCGCCACAAAAAAAAAGGAAAAAGAGGGGGGCTGGGGATGTGGCTCAGTGATAAAGTGCCCCTGGGTCCAATCCCCAGTACCAAGAGAAAGAAAGAGAACGAAAAAAAGAAAAAAGATAATCCACAGAATGGGAGAAAATATATTTATAAATCACATACATGATGAGGGCTGGGGTGTGACTCAGTGGTAAATCACCCCTCTGGGTTCAATTCCCAGTACCCCCAACCCCTGCAAAAAAAAAAAAAAAGAGAGAGAGAGAGAAAGAGAGAGAGATGGGGAAACAATCTGGGAGTTTTTCAAAAGATTAAATATAAAGTCACCCTATGACCCAGCAATTTTCCTAGATATATATTCAGAATTGAAAACATATGTCCACACATGCATGTGCTGTACAAAAAAAATTGTACAAAAATGTCCTTAGCAGCACTGTTCATAATAGCTAAAAATTGGGAAYAACCCAAATGATGTGTTAACTGATAAGTGTATAAATAAAATGTTGTAGATCCATATAACAGTATATCAGTCATCCATAAAAAGGATTGGAAGTACTGAAATGTACTATAATATGGACAAACTTTGAAAACATTTTGCTAAGTGAAAGAAGACAGAAATAAAAAACCACATATCACATGATTACATTTATATAAAATATCCAGTTAGACAAATCCACAGAGACAGAAAGTAGATTGGTGATTCCAAGTGAGTAGAAAAGGGGTAATGTGCTAATAACAGTTGTGAGGTTTCTTGTTGGGGTGATGAAAATAGTTTGTTTAGAATTAGTAGTGATAGTTGTAGAACTTTGTAAGTATACTAAAAATCACTTTATTGTACACTTAGGGAATTGTATGATATGTAAATAATATCTTAATAAAAATAAGTAGATCAACTCTGTTTCTCAATCCAAATGAAATCAGGTCTTGCTAATGGATGAAAACAGATGTTATCCAATTCTGATGTTGCCTAACTAGTGCTGCTCATTTACAGGAGGGCAAGTTGCTATACTGTAGTCCTTACCAATAAGTATATACTGAAAAGTACATATCTGTTATTATTGCTTTATATATATTTGAGAGTGACTACAATAATGAATTCTGCTCCAAAACAGTGATCACCTTAAAAGCTGCTGGAAATAGAGGCATATTTATAAGATGTAAATTATTCAAATACCACATGTGTAAATAAGATGAAAACATAGTCATATGCAAACACATCTCCCAGTCTTATTGAGTTAAGAGCTTGTAAATTGTGGTCCAGTTTGAAATCTATTTATTCGGGTCCTAACAAATTAGAGGCTTTGTACCATCTCCAGAGAGCTGACTCTGGTGACTGGTTTAGTTTTACATTTGTTGGACTGGAGGGTGACTGGGACATTCAGGTGTAAACACGGATTGAAACTGAGGATCCAATAAAACGCTGATTTGTTAATTGAATAAAGCATCTAAAGGAAGTCGACCGACCAATTAGAACAAAACAAGAGCAAACAAAACTAAGAGCTGAATTTGGGTATGAAAAGAAAAAGTACCAGTGAAGGAGAGGAAAAAGGCAAGCAGACTGAGAAGAGAAAGGTTCATTTTACGAAGTGACCTGCCTTTTTCTTCCTCGTTACCCTTGCTGACCTCTATACAACCTCTCACCTTCCCACAGGACTCCCAGTTCCAAGTTTAAGCTCCGCCCCATTCAGCCCAGAAGATTTGCCTTCACGCCAGGATTCCGGAGTCGCCTTGGGCCGGACTCTGCCGCCGTGACTGGCCTTTGCGCATGCGCGGGGAGAAGTGCGCGGAAGGTGAAGATGGCGGCGGCCGGAGCTGGGGCCCTGGGAGTTCGATGGCTGAGAAGGGCTGTCGGGAACGTGGTGCCGCTAGGGGCACGAACAGGTCCGCGAGAACTGGCGAGGCCTCAGTGTGGGAAGGGGATGCCAGAAGATCGGTGTGAGGGAAGGGAGGTAGTGGATATCGAGTGGCGTCTGTGCCCTAGCAAGGTTGGAGGTGATGGAGGGTCGCGCTGATCCCGTGAAGTCCCAGCCAGGCTTCGGCCTCTGTAGCTTTGAGCCTTCCGGGCTGCTGGCGAATGGGGTTGGTCTGACCTGTGCTCTTCTGTGCTTCAGCCTCCCACATTACCAAGGACATGCTTCCGGGGCCCTATCCTAAGACCCCAGAAGAACGGGCAGCCGCCGCCAAGAAGTACAATATGCGTGTGGAAGACTACGAGCCTTACCCGGATGATGGCATGGGGTGAGGTAGAGAGGGTCAGCTCGTACCTGGGTAGTAGTGGGAGAAGACATGATGGGTGGTTCTACTCTGACCCTTTCTCCCGAACCCTCTTGTGTCATTGGTGTGGGTGCTTTTCTTCGTGGTGAGAGTGGGTGGGTGAGCAGCTGCAGCCTAGAGGACCTCAATTTTCTCTTTGGCTCGGGCTGTTTCCTCAAATGAGGAAGCTGAGATTTTAATGGCTCCCTGGAGGACTCCCGAATAGCAGGAACCTTCCTTGGCTCCTTCCACAGCCCTGGGTTTCATTTAGATTGAGCATCTGCTGGGCTCAGGTGCTGTCATCCAGGCAGGTGACCAGACTGGAGCTGCCTCACCTCTGTTGGCCCCCAAATTTGCTAGACTCCTGTCATGAGAACCTTATTTGTAGATGGAGTACTCTATATTTGTGTGTACGTCTCTCTTTAGGGCTGTGGAAATGGCCAACCTCCTTTCTCCAGTTGATGTTACCTCTACATACCTCTATTTCCACATACCATCCTTGTGGTTAATTACCTTTAGTGATTACCCTCATCTTCACTTTCTTCCTAGTATCATTCTTTCAATCTTGATTTCAGCATCTCCTATCCTTATTTTTCAGTTATTATCTGTGACACATGTCTAGTTTTCATCATTTCCCATGTTTTAATTGTATTTTAGACAGGAACAGCCTTGGTAGCAATCTTTATAAGGTGAACCTGCGTTTTTTTTTTGGCGGGGGGGGGGGGGGAACCCAGCTAAGCAAGATGTCCTTTGAGGTGTTTGAGGCATGGAGAGGTATACTAACTTGTGGTTGAGAAACAGGGCCTATGAAAAGAATGCTTTTCCAGTCTTTTTAAATTTTTTCCAGTTGGCTGGGTGACTGGGTTCGGACCATAAAATTTAGTTTCATTTTTTTAATCTGGTAAGGGAATCAGATAATCAATAAAATTGGTAGCTAAGTTCCCTTTTAGCTGTAACATTATAGAATTGTGTGACCTTTCTTTTTGAAAGAATTTAAGGAAAGTTTATATGTTATAATGTTTAGAGTTTGATGTGACCATCTAATTACAGTCTATAGTCTTATTTGGTTGGTTCTGTGCTTGTGACTAGAACTTGAAATCTTGATTTGGGAGGCAGTTCATCTTTCCTTAGGTGAAGAAGTTATATCTGTCACTTGGTTTTTCATCTCAAAGATGGGAGACTGAATTGTCTGAGACTACTCATAGCCCCTTCCATAATTTCTTGCTGTCTCTTAGGTATGGTGACTACCCGAAGCTCCCTGATCGCTCACAGCATGAGAGGGATCCATGGTATGAATGGGACCACACAGACCTAAGGTTGAACTGGGGTGAACCGGTGAGAAAATTTTCTCATAGCCCATTTAACTTTTTTCTCCTCCCTGTATCTTCTTGGAGATTCTCCCTTTAGCTCAAGTGGCACTTCTCTGTCCAGTTAATACTAAGCTTTTCTGCTCAAAGAAATAAGGTCCAGTGATCTGAGACCTGAGGTTCCACATGTGTCAGGCACATGGAGCAGGACTTCTGGAAACAATTAAAGCTCTGTACTGTGAAAGTTGTACATGATTGAGCTGTCTCTGGTGAGCAGAACCTAGACTGGGGCCAGCATCTACTCTTGTGGGCCTTTGTGTCTCAGAATATTGTCCATGGCAGTAGAATGCTTCTATCAAGCTTTGTATGAGGCTAGGTTAACTCTGGACTGCCGGTCTTTTTTGCAGGAAGAGTAGTTTATGATGGTTATTGCCTTTCTGCCTTAGATACACTGGGACCTAGACATGTATATCAGGAACCGTGTGGATACATCCCCCACACCTGTTTCTTGGAATACCATGTGTAAGCACCTTTTCGGCTTCGTGGCCTTCATGATTTTCATGTTCTGGGTGGGGGAAAAATATCCCACCTACCAGCCTGTGGTGAGTATTCCCCTGCCCCTTCCCGTGGTATTTGAAAAGTGCTTCCCTTGGCATACCTGCTTAGCCCCCTTTTCTGAGGGAGTGAAGTCTGGAGTAGGGAACCAGCCATTACCAAGCTTAGCTTCCTGGAGTCTTAAGAGACAGGAAGATAGGTCCTTACCCATTGGTCTGGCACCAGAGCATTGTTGGTTCTGTGCTTCTCAGTCCAGTCCAAGTTAGAAGACTCAGGAGTAGGGAAGAATGATAATGTTGAAGTCAGCTAGTTTTCAGAGTTGCTACTTGAGGATTAAACCAATTATATTTTGGTGAGTGATCTTTTAAGGTAGAGTCAAGGAATCTAGAACTGAAATCTTATGCTTTGTTAGACATGTGAAAGGAACTTCCTTTACAGTATTGGAAGCAAATAAGTGTCCACTGCAAGCATATATAGTTATATTTTGGTCAATGTAAAGGACATAGAAAATCAACTTTCTAGTTTTAAGGAAGTTTAAGAAAATTTAGTTAAATGACTTGAGCAACTTTGAAGAGATGTGGGAGTTTGGCATTGTGTACATATTTATGTGTATAGTGAATGTGTGCAAAATGGAATGACCTGCTCTGAGAATGTATGGTTAACTTTATTTTTTATCCTAATCAGTTTTACATGACAGCAGAATGCTCTTTGATTCATTATACCAAATGGGGCACAAGTTTTCACTTCTCTGGTTGTACACAAAGTAGAGTCATATATGGTAAACTTTAAATGCCAAAGGGGGGCAAGGATGGGGGGACTTAGGTGGTGGGAGAAGTTGGAGAAAACATTTGGGGCAAGAGAAGACAAAGAGGGAGAAGGAGTGTGAGAGAGCCAAAGTAGAATAGGTATAGGCATATAAAATAGTTCCTAGATAATTAGCTGCATTGATTTCCTAGAGATTTATGGGTCTTACTTCTTAGAGATCCTAATTCAGTAGCTCCACTGTAGGGTTCTAGGATCAATATTTTCAACAATCTCCGGGTAATTCTGATGAAAATCTAGACTTGGAAATCTCTAGGTTGTTGTGAGGTGAGATGATTGGTTAGGTTGGCAGTTTTTATTGTGTGGCTAAAGGATCTGGACTTCATGAAGTAGGGATGTATTAATCCATTAAATATTTGGGCAGCCCCTACTAGGTATGACCATGCTGGGGGTTGGGGTTGCAGTAATGACTTCGTCTGCCTTGAGTAGCAGGGAGCCATTTTTGGTTTTTGAATAGAAAAGTGCATGATGAAGGCTGGATTCTTAGGAAGATTAATCTGGGAATAGTCTCTAGCATGGATTGGAAGGAGAGGGACTGAAGGCAGGAGGCTGTTTTGTTTGCAGTTGGCTGCCCAGTGCTACCTCTGCAGAAATAATCAATGTCCTGAAGGTAGCTGCTGTATCTGTGCGCACTGACACGAGCCTTTCTGCCAAGCCCCAGGGGCTCCTTGCTGGAGAGTGCACATAGGGCTGGGGTGAGCACTAACTTCACTTCAGGAGAGCAAGAAACAGTGTGGCTCTTCCATTTTTCAGTTCTGTAAGCACATCACCCTTTTCTCCTCCCCTTGAGCTGTGTTCTCTGACAGCTGTTTGTTGGTAAAGCCAGCAGCCCCTAAAGCACGTCCCAGCCATGTCTCCTCTGTGCTTTCCCCCACTGCTGATTCTGCACGCCTCATTTGCTAGGCCACTTTAGTGGTGGAACCATTAGAGGCTGAGTGACTTAAAGGAGATTGAGTCTGTCTCGACCCCGAGAGAGTGGGATGGATGGATGCATTGTCTCATTTAGAAAGCTTTGACTCTCTTTCTCTCTCCCTCCCTTCCCCATCCTGCTCCCTTTCTTCTCCTCTCTCACAGTGTAGGCATCACTTCTCTTAAAATTTAGGCTTTCTCTCTGCCTTGGGCTGAGTAGGGAAGAGGAGTGCTGCTCTCCTACCATTCCCAGTCCAGCTGGGTCTGAACAGAGGCTAATGTGTATCCATTTACCATGCATATTTGTTAACTCAGAGTAAGGATAGCTAGGTATGTATGTATATTGTTGCTTACCTGTGTTTTTTCCTTAGGGGCCGAAGCAGTATCCTTATAATAATCTGTACCTGGAACGAGGAGGTGATCCCACCAAAGAACCTGAGCCAGTGGTTCACTATGAGATCTGAGCAGGCACCATGGGCTTTTGTGCTCTCTAACCAGAACTCCCTCATTTCTAGAGATTTAACCTTAATGAAATCCCTAATAAAACTCAGTGCTGTGGTATCTGTGCCTCATTTCCCCTGGAATAGTCATTGCAGTGAAGAATTTCATCCTTTTCTTTTTTTCTTTTCTTTTTCTTTTTTTTTTCCCCTGCTTACTCTCTGTTTTTCCTGCTCTGGAGTTGGAAGGCTGGGAGTATAGAATGGGGCAGCTAAACATAAGAAGATGTTTATTTGTTAATTCCATTGGAACTGTCCAGGTGGGCAAGAATTTTAATTGCTCCTTTCCCATTTATAGGGTCAAAGAAGAAGAAGTGTGTGTTCCTGACTTTGCAAGTTGTAACAAGATTTATTTTTCATGAAAAATCTTAATAATAGTGGTTAGTTTTTTTTAAAAAAAAAGTTGTTTTCTAACATGTTTCAAGTACATTATAGAGTAGATACATATTTGTGATCATCTGTGATCTTAATTTGTTAAAAGAATATGCATTCTTTGTTTCAAAGCAACTTCTAAAACAGTTGCTTAAGAAGTTGACCTTACTTAAATTTATGAATTAGAGGACAATTGAGTGAATTACTATCAAACCTTTTTATAGCTTTCATTACCCTAATGATTAATACAGATTCCTGTAATAGTCTTAGAGGAAAAGTGTGTTTTTAAGAGTCTTAACACATCTGTTTTTAAGTGAACCACCCCATCTTCTGTGAGTCTCTTTGGGTCCATTTTTAAAAATTATACTGCTGAAAACTGACCTATAAAAAAGCATGTGTTTAGCAGGGCACACTCGGGAGACTGAAGCAGGAAGATCACAATTTCAAAGACAGCTTCAGCAATTTAGTGAGTCCCTAAACACTTGGTGAGATCCTGTTTCAAAAAATAAAAAGGGGGGCTGGGGATGTGGCTCAAGTGGTAGCGCGCTCGCCTCAAATGCGTGCGGCCCGGGTTCGATCCTCAGCACCACATACAAACAAAGATGTTGTGTCCGCCGATAACTAAAAAATAAATATTAAAAAAAATAATAATAAAATAAAATAAAAAGGGCTGGGGATGTAACTCAGTGGTTAAGCACCCCTGGGTTCAATCCCCAGTACCAAAAAAGAAACAAAACAAAAACATAAGTTCAAAGTAAGCCATAGAAGTAAGCCTATTCAAGTTAATACAGGGTCTTTTAGTGGTTGTCCATGCAGTGAAAGAGACCTTTGTAAGATTAAAGTGGATGGTTCTACTGAAATGCCACTCTTTGAAGGTCCCCACTGACTTTTATTTTCATTCTCTGTTCTCTATAGCATTTAGTAATAATTTATTTAGCAAATATCTGTGTGTCAAATATGTATCAGAACACTGATAGGCCTTGGGGACATAAAATGGAACAATTGCCTTCCAGTAGTTACCTAGATGAGAAGTGTGGGAGACCAACCTTGAACGTGACTGAGTTAACTCCCCTGCTGGGTGATGTGGCTTCAGGCACCCATGCTGCTAGACTGCCCCGCTCTTTTCTAGGGTTCCAGTGACTGTCTTTTTTGTGCCTGGGCATGTCTTCCTACAGCCCCGTGGGTGGAGCTATGCTCACCTGTTCCTTTGTTATATTACCCCTTATCCTGTTTAGGATAGAATGTTCCATGGAAGTGCCTTGTGTATGTCCCCTTACTGTGCCCTTGGGTGTGGCCTACCTAGATGTCAACCTGCTGACAGTGGACATCATGAAGATAGACTTAGTCCCTTGAAACCTGACCCTTTGCCTCTTTTGAATAGCTTCTCAATAAAAGGGGATAGTGCGTTGTCTCTCCCTCCCTCCCTCTCTCTTTTTCTCTCTCTCCCTGCGGACCCTTAAGGTCAGAGGAGCTGTCACAGTGACCCCAAAGAAAAAGGTATTTGTCTCTTGTGTGGTTATTTGTGCAGCCCAGTTAGCCCAGTTTACCTGGAGTGATCCCTGAGCCTTTTAGTCGTGAGAACAGAAACCCGGCAGAGAAGACTGACAGTTATAATATGAAGCGAAAAGAATTAGAGATGTAAGTTGAGAAAGGTACACTTTTTTGTTTAATCAATTCTTTTGAAAATGACCTTATGTCTGGTTCAAATTTCTTTTGAAGAACTCCCATCAGTGACACTTCCCCCTTTTCCCCAAATTCTGGGTATTGCCTGAGGTTCGATTTTAAGCCTGGTTTACTTTTTCCCTAGGTCTCATCCGCTGTTGTGCTTAAAAAATTCAAGAAATATTTGAGTGCTTAGGTAGAAAGAATGGTCTAAGTACAGATAATGCCACAAATTGTCTCTTGTCTGACCCCCAAACTCCCAAGTCCACAAGAAAAGGAACTCCAGAGTTGTGTTGCAGAGTTGGATCTCATCATCAGATAACCATTACCCCAACTTGGTAGATAATTAGGCAGGAATACAACATGCTTCATGCATTAAATAGTATTTTTGAAATCAAATTAGTTCCAAGAACTTCAGCTACCTACAGAATATTTTTTTAAAAAATTGAAAATGCCACAGTTCCCACAACAAAATAAAATAAAAATCTCTTTACACACCCTCTTGGAATTCTCTGTTAATGGCACCACTATTTCTAGTCTCCCCTGCTCTAGAGCCACGGTAGCTTGAACTCCTTACCTTAATCAGTCACAAGAGTCTTGAAGCTCTTCACAATCACTGCTCTATTCAGGTTTTCAACACCTGGTTCCTGGATTGTTCTATTGGTCTCTTGAGTTCCTTCCTTCACCTCTTTTCTAAGGGGTTCCATATTTCTAGCCGCTGCATCCAAATTCATAATTTTCACTAACTCCTTGTTATCAGCAGAACTGTATTTGTAAATCACAGTCTGTATCTGGACCTTCTTCTGACCCAGTCTCTGTTTCATTCACATATGGGAAATGCCCGGCACCTATGAGCTGGCTTGGCCCCTTCATCCTTGTTGAAATATCACCTGTTCTGCAGGTTGGAGAGGTAATAGCCCCGGTCTGCTGTAGTCTTGCCCTCCGCATACCTGTAGCCTTTAATTCAACCAGCAGTTTGTGGGTGCCAGTTATTACTGGACTGGACTGCATCATTGGCTGTCATTTACTTCGAGGCTGGATAGCTTTTTACCTTTTCAATTAAGTGGATGCACTGATAGCCCCTGGAGCTAGGGACTAGGGACGGGTTTTCTCCCGCTTTGATGACTAGATAATGAATCAAGTTAGTATTTTCACACTTCAGAGACTGTCCTGGGAGACTGGTTCCACTTGAATGGAACTTACTGGTCTGGGATTTGAACCAGTGCACCACACCTATGATCACAGGCAGGTGAGGGAGGCTACATTAAAGCTACCGTCCTATTTGATACATTCTCTGGGTCTGTTCACCTCACGCTCAGCGAAGCGTCTGGGTAGCGGTTCCATACCGGACCAGGCTACTTTTGACCCTCTGCAGCCGCCGTCCACAGAGCCAGCTGGGCCCCAAAGGCCTTAGCGAGCACAGGCTCCAGCGACGGCTGACCCCTGACCTGGGCTCTCCGCGCAGGTGGGTTTTCCCCGCGGAAACCCAGAGACCTTGCCAGGGGCGCTATTCGTTCTCTGGAGAGCTTCTCGGGGAGCTTGCTAGCTGCTGAGACTTCAGCATGCACCAGCCCCGCCGGCTGGTCGAGTTCGCCCTCGGGACTCCGGCCAGGGCTCCTCTCAGAGACCCTTTTAAAGCGATCATCAGATTGCACCCCGGCCCACTCTTCCAGCTGCGCTRGGGATGCCCAGCGGAGTGTCTGAAGCGCTTCCACGGCGCCTTTCCATCCAACTTGGGCCCAGACCTGGGGTGGTCAGGAACCCGCACCTGTTCTCTGCGTCCTGGCGGGAAGGCCTGTCACGACTGACCCTGGTGCGCCGCGTGTGGCCGACGGCAGGAGAGTAGCTGTGCTGACTCTCCTCCTTAGGGACTGGACTGCCAAGGGTAGCTGGCGCTCTCCTTCGCTGCAGATTGACTGGTCATAGCGCCCCGCCCCATCTCACCCCACTAGGGCCATAGCCAGTCTAACCCCCGTGGAGGCCTCTTTTTGCGAACAGGTGTCTCTGAACCAAGCAGATTAAAAGCCTGTTTTCCCAGCTTCTAGACTGCCAGCGATTTAAATCCTTTATGGAGTTTAGATTACTAAAGGGCTAAAAGTACTGGCTCTTGAGGCTGACTGGCGATCTTGGCCTAGCCAAGTTGTCTCTGTAAAATGGAAATAACGATAGTATTTATTTAATAGAGCCACTGGGAGAAATAAATGAGATATTCATGTCAAATGCACAGTTGCCAATTGCAGCTCCTTCTTTTGGTATTAGGGGATCATTCCCCCCAAATGTGACAATGGCTGTGACCAGCAGGTGGCACCGTGACTGAACAATGTAATCAGAGGATGCTGGATAGAGCCTCAGGTGTTTAGAGGTCTCTTGGAAATCTCAGTTTGATTGGCAGCCTTAAACTTTCCTCAAGGTGGAAAGTACATTAAAGATTAAGTAATATTACCTTCTGTTTTTGTAGGTCAGCAGATCACAGTCCTAAGTTTCCTTCCTCAAGTTCAGTGTCTTTATTTTTATTTTTTTAGTTGTTGATAGACCTTTATTTTATTTATTTATATGTGGTGCTGAGACTCGAACCCAGTGCCTCACACATGCCAGGCAAGTGTGCTACCACTGAGCTGCAATCCCGTGCCCAGTGTCTTTATTAAAAAAAAAAAAAAAACATTCTGCTCCCTTGCTGTCGTGTTGGGATGGGATTTTGAATATGCATTAGAATTAGATTGAAAGCCATACAGTTAATATGGATATCTGCATTCACTGAACAAATATTTATCAAGCACTATGTGCCAGTCATTGATGCAGGTACTAGTTTTAACATGGTGAAACAAAGTAGAAACAGTGCTAGCTTTTATAAAGCTTATATATTAGTAAAAAGAACAGCAATGCAAAAATAAATAATTACAAATTTCTATAAAAAAATTGAGGCTGATTTTGATTAGGTGGGTCACCTCTCTGAAGAGGTTAGACTGAGTCCAGAAAGATATGATAAAAGAGTTAGTCATACAGAGGGTGAAGGGAAGAGCATTATAGTATAGGGAACAGCATTTGCAAAGTCTTTCATGTAGGAAAAACTCAGGAAATAATAAAAGGCTACTTTGGCTTTAATATAATATGTAAGAAGAAAAGTAAGAGATGAAGTGGTAGACTGGAGCTTGAATTTTAGATTCTGAGTGTGATAGAGCATTGAAAGATTTTATGCATGGACCTCCAGAATCCTAATTTTTGTTTTAGAAGTTCATTCCTGCTGTGATGTAGAGGATGAATTGGATGATGGATGTAGCAAGGAGATAACCAGCTGGAGATTATTGCAGTAATCTGGCTGAGAGATGATGGTGGGGGAAGATATAGAATAGAGAATCCCATTTTATAAGACTAACTTAAGTATCTTTGCTATGTCTAAGGAGAAATATTTGATTAGTAATTGTATATAAGAACTTGGCACTAAAAGGAGAGATTTGTGTTGATGATATTAATTTGGGAGTCAAACACATATGATGATATTTGAAGCCAAAGAAATGAACAGAATCACTGAGAAATTATGTGGTTTGATAATTTCTGGTTGCCCAAGGCCCAATGGTTTGATTAGCAGAATATCACCATTGGGCCTTGGGCAACCAGTGTGGTTAAATGTCTGTTGGGCTTTAAGGAATTAGATTTCAATAAAAGAGCTGTCCTTAGTATTAGGGGATCATTCCCCCCAAATGTGACAATGGCTGTGACTCAAGAGCCCTCTTGTATTTGTCAATCTGTGTTGCCCTGAAACAAAATCTTGGTGGAGAGAAACAAAATCAAATGTCTATTGATGCTCCCTGGATCTGGACCTTAAACTTGCTGGTTTCTATTTTCAGTGGGCCAAGAGGCATGTCGGTTTTCTGCCACCTACAGGACAGACAATGAAGCTGAAGGAACTTGAGCGGCCAGCTGTCCAAGTGTGGAGCCCAGCCAGTCAGTATCCTGTGTATCTGGCCACAGGTATGGTGATATTGTGGAGCCCTGAAAGTACATACATTGAGGAAAAATTTAGCACCTATAATTCATTATTGAGTATCAGAGAAAGTTTAGGATCATAGAAAGGTGGGGATGACTCACTGCATAAGCAAGGGGATAGAGATTTTTTGGGTACCTGGGATTAGTCTTGGACTATTGTTCAAGGATAGGCCCCTTATGCTTTCTTTGGAGCCCTCTCCTGTCTTTCCTTTCCATTCCCTAACCCATTTATACTTTAAATCCATGTGTGTATTATTGCTCATATGCTGCCTCTTTTTGACTTTTCTTGTACCTAGGAACATCTGCCCAACAGCTAGATGCCTCCTTTAGCACAAATGGCACATTGGAAATCTTTGAGGTTGATTTCAGGGATCCTTCTATGGACTTGAAACAAAAAGGAGTCCTTTCTGCCTCGAGCAGGTACTCTGTTTGGACTATTGATGGATATACGGGGCAAACCCTCATGATGATACTCATGAAAAACTCCTGGGAGTAGTGTGTACATCTCAGGGATCATGAGGAGTCAAGTGAGGGGAGAAGGAGTTTTGCCAAGCAGGAGAGAAGTTAATTCTGGGCTTACTTTGCAATAAGATTTTAAAAAACAACCAGCTTCATCTTTCTGGTCAGCAGCAGCAGCAACAACAACAACAGACAACACATATTACAGAGACATCTCACCAGAGCCTGGACCACATGGACCTCATCTCTCTTTGAACTTAGAGATGTTGGCTCTTTCCTCTCTTGGCTCTTGTGAAGCTCACAATGTTATACAATATCATCCTTTTCTGCCAACAGGGAAGAGAATGAATGATCCTTCTCATTGCTGTTTGGCATTGATTAGGTACTCCTGGATTTCATGGCTCTGGAAGACAAGGCACTCATGGATTTCATGGGTGATATTGTGAAACCGCAATTAGGAGAAGGTCATTCATTCTCTTCCTAGTTAGCAGGTTAGGCTAGAGGAGGCCTTGTAGGCCTTGATAAGTTAGGTATTATTGTTCATTGAGCACATATGCGTGTGCCAGACACTGCTAGGAGCTTTATATTTTATTCATTACTCAAAATAAGCTCAAGTGTTAATTACCATTATTTCCATTTTACATGGGCAGGAACTGAAACTCTGAGAAGCTAGGATTTAAGTCTAGGCATTGAGTCCAATGCCTACCTTCTTTACATTATTCCGTTGCCTTTTTAAAAATGTTCCCTTTTCTCTCTCCGCTGCATGCTCAAACCTCTTTTTTTTTTTTTTAAGAGAGAGAGAGAGAGAACTTTTTTTTTTAATATTTGTTTTTTAGTTTTTGGCGGATACAACATCATCTTTGTTTATATGTGGTGCTGAGGACAAGAGCTTTGTAATGTTGTGAACAACCAATAAAAATTAAAAAAAGAAAAAAAAATATGTGGTGCTGAGGATTGAACCCGGGCCGCACGCATGCCAGGCGAGCGCGCTAGCTTGAGCCACATCCCAAGCCCTCTGCTGCCTTTTTAAAAAGTATTTATTTTTTAGTTGTCGTTGGGCACAATACCTTTATTTTATTTATTTTTATGTGGTTCTGAGGATTGAACCCAGGGCCTCGCACATGCTAGTTGAGCATTTTACTGCTGAGCCACAACTACAGCCCTATTCCACTGCCTTTTTAAAGGTTTTGTAAAGGTGGGACTTAACAGTCTGAATCAATGATCTGTAAGTTTTTATCCCATCAGAAAAATGTGAATATTCATTGTACTCAAGTTATATATTCAATATAAATAATGTATGTTTTACTGTACTATTAATAAAGTGTATTTTCTATCATTTTATAGGTTGAATGTATAAATCTTCTTACAGCCTAGTGAGTAATCTTGCTCACCCTACTTTGGTGATTATTTTTCTAAGCAGAGTATGGTAGCACATGCCTGTAATCTCAGTGACTTGGGAAACTGAGGCAGGAAGATTGCAGTTCAAGCCCAACCTCAGCAACTTACCAAGGCCCTAAGCAACTTAGTGAGACCCTCTCTCAAAATAAAAAAATAAAAAGGGCTGGGAATTGGCTCAGTAGTTAAAATGCCTCTGGGCTCAATTTCCAGTACCAAAATAAATAAATTAAAAGGACTCGGGATATAGCTTAGTGATAGAGTGACCCTGGTTTCAATCCCAAGTACCAAAAAAAAAAAAAAAAAAAATTTTTTCTAGAAGGCAATCTTATATCTGATGGTTGGTGAACCCCTGTGCATTTCTTAGTCTCTCTCAGAGATTAAATATTTAGGCAGAAACACTCTCTTCTTTCTTTTCACAGTTTAACCTAATAACAGAAAGTCTGAGAATCTGCTAAGACCTGAATTCAGGTCTTACATTCAATCTCTTTTCCCTTTCTTTTTTTATGGTAGTCTCCTTTTACTTTTTTTTTTTTTTTTAAAGCTTCTTCCTGTGACTCTTCATTATTAACTAGACATACATTTTTCAAAATCTTCCCCTTTCCTCTGCTTTCCCTTTTCACCAAATATGTGCCTCAGCCAAATTTGGGTTATGAAGATTTCCTTATTCTCAATCCATGAAGTAGCTAAGAAATATTATCTATCAAAAATATCTGACTGAAAGAAATGTTATGAACCACTGTGTGGGTATTGAAAAAGGGCAGCCTGAAGCATGCATAGATGAAGAAAATGAATGGATAAGTGCTTCTGGATGCAAGCAGAATTGATGCAGATTAGCATGTGCACTGAAGCAAGTGATGTTTGGCTTGTTAGATGAAGTTCACTCAAGAAGAAATGTTTCTGGGCAAATTATAGTTTTATGTCATTGATTGCAGATATAGTGGCTTTGGCTAAATGAAGTCAGAGTCCAGTGTGTGATCTGCTATACTATGCTCTGTCTACACTGAGGTTCTAGGTCTCTGAGTAGCCTCTGTAGGACATATCCTCTAAATAACATGGAGAGAGTAGGTGATCTGTTTTCTATTGTTCTACCTTTATCTTAATTCTAGGTAGCCAGAATGCTGTGATATCTTTTTGGATGCTTATATAAGAGATAGTACTCAGAAGGAAAAAAATCATTTTGTGTACTTCTCAGTTTTTCTGTTCTCAAGACTTGCATTTTTGCTAGAGGCATCAAGTTCATAGAGTGGAGAGAACATGGGCTTTGTTATTGGATAGACCTAGGTTCAAATCCTGGCTCTGCTACTTACTGTCCTTTTGGACACAGTATTCAACTTTTCTGGCTCTGCTATAAACATTTCTTCACTAGCAATTAGAGAAATGCAATTAAAACTATGGCGAGGTTCAGAATACAAAGTAGATACTAGGTGGCCTTGTCATAGTAGGTATTCAGGAAAGTAGTTTGTCTCTCCAATAGCCGTTGCTCCATTCCATTGCCTTCATTCTCCAGCTTGGAGCACTGCCTCCACCATTCTGATGTTTAAGGAAACTTGGATTTCCCCAATGATTTTAGCCTGGATGTGAACAAACTCTTTTTTACTTTAGTTTGCTTGCATCAGGTTGGGATTTTTCAAAAGAAACTTACTAAGCAAATGAAAGAAAAATCCAAAGTGAAGTTGTGCATAAATCACGAAACAAGAACTTTTACACTGCAGATATTTCTTCCTTTTTTAAAAAAAAAAAAATCTTATTTGTTTTTTTTAGTTATACATGACAGTAGAATGTATTTTTACATATTATACATACATGGAGTATAATTTTTCATTTTTTTGGTTGTACGTGATGTGGAATTACACTGATTGTGTATTCATTTATGAACATAGGAAAGTAATGTTTGATTCATTCTACTGTCTTTCCTATTCCCACCTCCTTCCCTTCTCTTCATTCCCATTTGTCTAATCTAAAGTATGTATATTCTTCCCTTCCTCCTCCCTTATTGTGTGTTAGCCATTCACATATCAGAGACAACATTCAGCCTTTGGGTTTTTTGAGGGATTAGTTTATTTCACTTAGCATGATAATCTCCAGTTCTATTCATTTACCAACAAATGCCATAATTTCATTCCTTTTTATGACTGAGTAATATTCCGTTGCATATATATACCATGTTTTCTTTACCCATTCATCAGTTGAAGGGCACTCAGGTGGATTCAATAGCTTAGTTATAATAAATTGAGCTGCTATAAACATTGATGTAGTATGCTGATTTTAAGTTCTTTGTGTATAGACGGAGGAGTGGGACAACTGGGTCAAATGGTGGTTCCATTCCAAGTTTTCTAAGGAATCTCCATACTGCTTTCCAGAGTGGTTACACCAATTTGAGGTCTCACCAGCAATGTATGAATGTACCTTTTCCCCCACATCCTCGCCAACATTTATTATTACTTGTATTTTGATAATTGCCATTCTGACTGGAGTGAGATGAAATCTCAGCATAGTTTTAATTTGCATTTCTCTAATTTCTAGAGATGTTGAACATATATTTGTTCAACCTAATTTCTACAGATGTTTTCATATATTTGTTGACCAATTCTTTTTTTTTCTTCTGTGAAGTGCCAGGTCAGTTCCTTCACTGAAGATATTTCTAATCATAAGGTGCTAAATCTTAGTCGAAGATGAGCTTTAATCGGTATAGCATCCTGATCTCATAGGCCTCAGTTTTTTCTTTTCATTCTTATCTCTTTCATCTTGCCAAAAGCKTCACCATTAGCTGGATGCTAGGGTTGTTTCTAATTTTATGAAATTCGATGTCTTCCCCTTTTGTTCTAAGCTGTATCTAGTACAGTGGTTCTCAGCCATGGATGCTTATTGGAATCACTTGTGTGTGCTCCTGTTAAAAATGTAGTTCTGCGATCTTCGCCCCCTTTCCTTACAGCAGTAAGGAGTTCCCAAAATTAGAGGGGGGAATGAAGCCAGATTTAAAGTTAGGTAGTCGGGGCTGGGGATGTGGCTCAAGTGGTAGTGCGCTCGCCTGGCATGCGTGCGGCCCGGGTTCGATCCTCAGCACCACATACCAACAAAGATGTTGTGTCCACCGAGAACTAAAAAATAAATATTAAAAATTCTCTCTCTCTCCTCTCTCTCTCTTTAAAAAAAATAAAAAAATAAAAAAAAAATAAAGTTAGGTAGTCAGTGTAGTTAGGTAAATCGGGTCTAATATCGAGTAAGATCCAAAATGGAAACCATGTTGAGAATGAATTCCAGGAAAAGCAGAACTACTCTTGGAATGTTAATGAAGTCCGGGAAAAGCCCAAGGCCCAGAGCCCATCCCAAAGAAATGTTAATGAAGATTACTTCTTTGCCCCGCCTGTGCCCCACACTTCAGGCCTTCCCACCTACATTCCATCACTGAAAGAACTGTAAAAAGGGGAAACAACTGCACTTCCACGGATTCCATCTCTTGGGTCCCCTTCTTCCTCTGGGAGAAGTCTTTTCTGCTGTCCTTTAATAAAGCCTCTACTTTCTACTCTGAAAAAAAAAAAATGTAGTTCTGATGTCTTGTCTCTGGACATTCTATTAATGAGGTCAGGTAGGAATCAATGAACCTATATTTTCTTTAGGAACCACCCATCATTCTGTAATACCATAGGGTCTCCATTATTGTCATAATTTATTCACATTATCTTGGGAATCCCTTTTGCAGAGAAACTCTCATGTTTAAAGGTTCCCATCTTTTTATAGAAACTCTTTTTCCTATACCTTCTTCTTAAACCTCTCAGTTCCTTTTTCAGGATAAATTTCATCTTTTTTTTAACTTTATTTTTTAAAATATTCAAACTTATAGGAAAATTATAGAAGAGTATGATGAACAATCATGCTTTTCACTCAGAGACATCAGTTATTAACATTTTGTCATATTTGGCCCCCCTCTCCCTTCGATGCTGCCCCTCCTCCCCATGGTTATCTCTGGTTCTTGTTCATTTTCAGAATAGATTGTTGATACTACTTGAGCCCACTGAGTGATCAAGTCCCCCACCTTGCTTAATTTCACCCAGGTGTTCTCTATCATGATCTCTCCAGATGCCAGCTTCACCCTCACTTGTGAAGGGTTGAACAACAAAAATGTACTTTCTGCCTGCATACAGAAAGAAAACCATTTTGTTATACTCTGTGTACTGCAACTCAGTCCCTCTGATGGCTTTTTCTCTGCTCCTGATGAGCTCCAGTCCTTGGATGATATGGAAGCCTCTTAAGCCAGTATGGACACATTCTTCTGTAAAGATCAGTACAGCCTTAGAAATCTGCCTTTCTGCTACCACCAATCTGCCTTTCTGGTGGTAGCAGATCTATCATTGTGTTAGCTCCAATGTTCTGCCTCAGATGCCAGCTGATCTGAACTGGCGCTCAGTTCTGCACTCCTGATAGGTTGACTCTGCTTGAATGCCTAGCAAATAAATTCCTGCCCTATTGCCCCATTCAGTTTCTTTGCTGTTCCCAGGATGTGAGAATATTTCATGTAGCTATGGATCTCATGATATTTGGTGTGAAATCTTAGTTTTCTAAAGGGCTGTGGAAATGTCCTTGGTTAGCAAATAGACTTTAGGGACTTCACATCCTTCCCTATAGGTTTTACAAGGGACCAAATTTGTCTGCAGAGGATCCAGGGTCTATTTCTTTTGTGCAAGACACTGGCACTGTCTTGTATCCTCAAAAGCATCCTCAGAAAGCAAGAAAAAGTGTTTCCCATCTGGAGCATTTAATGTTTCATGCTCCCATGTCTCTATTGCTGGCCCATTGCAGCCATGTGGCAGCTCCAGTGGGCTAGCCATGTGGGAAAGGCATGGAGCAGAGAGGTTCTTGTGTCTTTTTCTCACTTACAATTTGAGAGAAGAAGGAATAGCAGTTGTAGATCTAAGCAGTTATAGGAGAGTTGGGTCTTCCTCTCAGTGGGAGGCAGTACTTTGTGATATTAAGAGCTCAGGCTCTGGAATAAGATGGGCTGACTTTGAACCTTGATTCTGCCACTTCCTAATTTAAAAACGAGGGTGAAATTACTAGCATTATCTATAGAGGACTTACAACTTCTTTGAGCCTCAGTTTCCTTAGTTGAAAATGGAGATACTATTAATACCTTATAGATGACTTAGTAATACTAAGTCATCTAATATATGTAAAGCATTTAAAACAGTGCCTGGTACATAATAAGTATTCAATAAATATCAGTTGTTGTGATTATTATCTGGCTATTTGAGTTATGAGGATTAAATAAAGTCATCTATTTAAAGTAGTAATCACAGGGCCTGTATAACCCCAACATTAACTTTAAAAAAAAAATACTTCCATACAAAACAGAGGCAATGACTTCCTAATTTCTAGTATAATATAGGTGGAATATTTTTTTCAGAGAAAGGGTAGGACAAATTAGAGGAGAGTTTCATTCTCTGTCTGAGAAATAAAGGAGGTGGGCAGGTCTCAGCCTGGGGTGCTGATGTCTTGATAAAAGGCAAAGGCTGCTTACTGAGATGGACCTAAGTTGGTGCTGATGCTGGTTCTTCTTCTTTATAGGTTTCACAAGCTGATCTGGGGAAGCTTTGACAATGGGCTTCTGGAAAGCTCCGGGGTTATTGCAGGTGGTGGAGACAATGGCATGCTTACTCTGTACAATGTGACCCACATCCTGTCTTCTGGAAAGGAGCCTGTGATTGCCCAGAGACAGAAGCACACAGGAGCTGTCAGAGCCCTTGACTTTAATCCTTTCCAGGTACTATAAATCAGTGATCAAACATGGCCAAGCCGTGGAGCAACACGTTTGAATGGAAACATTCACTTGTAGCCTCTGGGCTGTAACTGAACCCTTTCCAGGCTGCAGTGGAGGCTTTGGATATCCTAACTGTGGTCCTTTTCCCTTTCCTGCTCTCATCTGTTTCTCAGATAGTTTATCTCCACATGCATTTTATTCACACAGGGCAACCTGCTGGCCTCAGGGGCAAGTAATTCTGAAATATTCATTTGGGATTTGAATAACCTGAGCGTTCCAATGACCCCAGGATGTAAGTCACAGGTGAGGGGGGGGCTCTCTTTGCCTTGGGGCTATTAGGGTATACAGCTGATCTTTGCAGGTAAAGTCTTGAATTCTGTAGTCAACCAGAGAACAGTAGATTTCAGACTTTACCACTGGAGGGCAATAAACTCCACAGACTAAAGTTGGGATGAAGGGTGGTACAGGGGCTGTGTGTGGAATTGTTGGTTTGTGGTTATTAGCTGTTTTAAAGGTTTTTGGAATGAAGATGAAGGACAGGTGTAGCAAAAGGCACTGAGAAAAGGAATGGAAGTGCTACTTGTTATAGTGTAGGTTTGGCAGGCTTGGGTAGGGCTGTGGGCTCAGCAGAAAGGGAGCAAAAGTAGGACCCTGGACATACCATTGTCCTTTTTTTTTTGTGGTGAGGGTCAGCATTGTCTCTGTATGTATCAGGATGCAGTCAGGATCTGGTATGTCTTCTGTCTCTGAGTGTGCCTCTCTGTCAGTCTGTAACTTTGGGCCCATCTTTTTGCTTCCTGGCTTTTCTGTCTTACGCTTATAGTATCGTGAGGTAAGTTAAGTATGAACTTGATGGCATCTTATATCTTGCAAGTAGCATTGGATTTTCTTTTTGCCTCACTGTCTATGGGGGTCTTGGGTATCTACGTGTCCTTCCCTTTTCACCTTCCTATTTCTCTCCCTTCTATTGTAGTAGATAAGAAGACTGTTTTTAAATCTTGCCTCTACCCTCTCAGGAGAAATTTGGGATAGGAGTAAAAACCAAGCATGTCTGTCATCCCCCAACCTCTACCTCATCCACTTCTATATCAGTACCCCAATGAATCTTCCTGGGAAAATTCAATTTCCAGTTCTCTGAGACTATCTTAGTTTGGGGAGCCCCGTGTCTATTCTTGGGCTTGTGGGTGGTTGGAAGAAGTGAAATAGCAGATAATACTTGGTCCAGGGAATAACCATCCTCCCACCTCCCCACACCCTGCCTCAGCAGCCCTTAGAAGACATCAAGGGACTGTCTTGGAACCGTCAAGTCCAGCACATTCTGTCTTCTGCTCATCCCAGTGGCAAGGCAGTTGTATGGGATCTCAGGAAGAATGAACCTATCATCAAAGTCAGTGATCATAGCAGCAGGGTGAGTAGCGGAGGCCAGGACATAGGCCTGGCTCTGGCTTCTCTTTTGCACCAAGCATTTGGAGCTGTTCTGCTCTAGGTCAGGGTTCTGCTTCAACTTTTAGACATGTGGTGGTTTCCTATTAGGAATGAATGCTTGGGGAAGGTAAATAGAACTAATTTGGAAGCTTCTGCCCTTCCTTATTTATTCATGATTATCACTTATCTCTGATGACTGTGGTGTTCCCAGTCACATAAAAGAAACATAAGACCTACCCTGAGAATGGTCCCATCCCTATTGGGCAGAAAAGAGTTTATAACAATAAGAGTCAGATTATGTCACCCATTGAGATCTGCTTTGTTCACAGATGCATTGCTCGGGCCTGGCCTGGCACCCAGACATAGCTACCCAGTTAGTGCTGTGCTCAGAAGATGACCATCTCCCAGTGATTCAGTTGTGGGACTTACGTTTTGCCTCCTCACCCCTGAAGGTGCTAGAGAGCCACAGCAGGTAGCATCCCAAAACCCATCCACATCTTCTGTGGGATTGGAGGGGACATAACTGACCTGGGTAGGAAGCAATGAATTGCCTCATGTTAGCTACCAAACATCCTTCCTGGCTTCAAAGCCATTGAGTGAACACATAACTAGCACTAGCTCGAGTCATAACCAAGAGAAGTTTTTTAGATCCTGAGGTTATGGAGAAGAACCTGTGATTCCATCTAATTTATAGGGAGGGGGACAGGGATGGCATTATGAGAAATATTTGAGTTGATATTTAGTCCCTGTGTTTTCTATCACTATAACAAATACCTGAGATTATCAACTTATAAAGAGAAAAGTTAATTTTTACTCATAGTTTTGGAGATTTCAGTTCATGATCAATTAGCCCATTATTTTCAGACCTACGGTGAGGCCGTGAATCCATGCCAGGAGTGTCTGGTAAAGCAAAACCAGTCACCTAATGACTAGGGAGCAAAAAAGAATAAAGAAGAGGCCAGAGTCCCATAATTCCATTTAGGGCACACCCTCATGACCCAAGGACTTCTCAGTAGCCCCACCTCTTAAAGGTTTCACTGTTTCAGTAGCACCTCTCTGGACTCAAAGTCTTTAGCCCATGGACCGTTGGGGCATACTTAAGATCCAAAGTATAGCAGCCCCCTTGGGAGAGTTCCTATGCTCTGATCTAAAGGTAACATTCATTTTTCTACATGCTGAGGTAACCTCCTCCAAGATTTCTCCTTAATAAAAACTATTTGGCTCCTGTCTATCTTGTGAAAGGTCTGGCCCTGAAGCAGTCCCACAATCTATTCTTTCTAGATAAAGGGGACCTCTTGCCTTTATACCTCTTCGGAGACTTCTGAGGATTAGGTCTTCACTACCCTCTTTGGCTGAAAGCACTATAGGGATGAGTGTATATGTGATTCATACTGATTTTTGATCCTACTCTGGAGAAAAGCAGGCCATTTAGCAGTGATCTAGGGGAAGAAGGATTGTGCACCATGTAGGGTTCAGGCTCTGGAGTTTGACTTCATTCTGGCTGTATAGCTATCTGAAGGCTACTTAATTTTTCAAAGTCTTGTTTTCCATATTTGTAAAATGAAATTAGACCACCCATGTTATAGAGCTGAAATTTATCTAAGATATATAAGGCACCTTGCCCATTGTAGATATTCCACAAATGCTAATTCATCTTTCTTTTCCTTTTTTAGGGGAATTTTGTCAGTGTCATGGAGCCAAGCTGATGCTGAGCTGCTGCTCAGTAGTTCCAAGGACAACCAGATCTTGTGCTGGAACCTTGGGAACAGTGAGGTAGGTTGGTTCTCCTATGGGTGTGCTGGGATGGAGACAAGATGGTTAGAGGAATCCCAACTATGAGCTTATGTGCTTTGGGTTTCCTGGACTATACGGTCCCTAATGGTTGTGTTCCCTCCTGTTAGGTGGTGTATAAGCTACCCACACAGAGCAGCTGGTGCTTAGATGTTCAATGGTGCCCTCGGAACCCTCCAGTGTTCTCTGCTGCCTCCTTTGATGGCTGGATCAGTTTGTACTCTGTCATGGGTAGGAGCTGGGAAGTCCAACACATGGTACAGGCTGACAAGGTTTGAAGGGCTTGGTGGAGAGTGATGAAGGGAAGGGGCTATCTTTATATCTTTTGTGGGAGAAAGAAGGACATGTGGCCTGGAAAGAAGTGGGGGCTATTAGAGATGGGCAGACCAGAGTCCTGGATTTGGGAGGGCAGCACCTTGCTTCAGTGCCCATCTTCCTGGGATGGTATGTTTCTGCTACAATATAAAGGAGACTTTCACCTTGATTCTTGTTTTTGGATGTTCCCTTGAATATTTTAGGTATATTAAACCCCAGTGCTGGGACCATTATCTCAGGCATATGGACTGTTTTATACTTCCCTCTCTCCTATAGATCCATTTTTTCATACTCCATTATAGACTTTGAACATAGTAGGCTTTCTAATAGCCTACTGTGTGGGAGTCTCACCCTCACTTCCAGTTCCATCCCCATCCTCATCCCTTGGAACATGAGAATCTCGCTTTTTTAGGTTAAATTGGGTGTCTCAAAGTTCCTCCCAAAATGGAGTTTGTAGATGGAGTTCCTGGCTAAACTGCCACTTCAAGCAGATGATGCAGATGTCTTTCCCCCTAGATTTCCTCTTCCTTCAGCAAAGGCCAGCCTCTTCCACCATTGCAGGTACCAGAGTATGTGGCCCAAGCATCATTGATACCTCCCTTGAAAAAGCCCCCAAAATGGATTAGAAGGCCATCAGGTGTTTCATTTGCTGTAAGTGTCATGGGTATATGGTGTGGTTGTATATGTGGAGCCTTGCATGTGCCCAGCAAGGAGTGAAGTTCTGTAGGAGGTTTATTCCCACTGCCCCTGTCTCAGTTATTCTAGTTTCTCTCTCTACTCATCAACCATTCCGAACCCTGCTTTCTGTGTCTAAAAACAATTGATTGTTTTAGACCTCTTGGTTATAGAGAATGGCCTAAAATTCCACCTGAGATTTCCCTAACACTTACATATTTGAACTGATGAAAAGTACAAAGAAGGAAAGAACATAGGTTCCAGTTACATGTGACTCCTTTCTGTTCCATTAATAACTCCTCAGCTCCCTTGCCTCTGCTGGTACCTTACCCTACTGAGCCCATTGAATCCTCCTGTGGCCTTTCCAGGCCACCCACTTACATACCATCTCCTCCATGATGCCTGACTTTTTTTTTTTTTTTTGGTATCAGGGATTGAATTCGAGGTCACTTAGCCACTGAGCCACTTTCCCAGCCCCCAACTTTATTTTTTATATCTTATTTTGAAATAGGGTCTTTTTAAGTTGTTCATTGCCTCACTTAGTTGCTGAGGATGGTTTTGAACCTGTGACAAGATGTCTGACTTTAACCCTAGTGAAACTTGACCTCCCTTCTGTATTCCCGACTTATGTTCTAACTGTACTAAAGTTATTCGTATACTTTTCTGGAGGCCTTCTAAGTAATTGAGTCCATAAGGGTAGGGACCATGTCTTGTTCATTTTTATATTCCAAAAGCAGTGCTCCTCAAATTTTCATGTATATAAAAATCACGCAAGGATCTTATTAAAATTCAAATTGTGGCTTGTTTGGTCTTGGGTAGAGCCCAAGATTCTGATTTTCTAACAGATTCTTAGGTGATGTCCTTGCTGTTGGTCTAAGGATCAACTCTTTGAGTAGCAAGGCCCTGAAGCATCCAGCACAATGCTTTAAATAAAATATCAGATTTGAGTTGAAAACATATATATAAAAATAAAGGTTCAGGTTCAGGGGTTGTTGCTCAATGTAGAGTGCTTACCTAGTCTGTGTGAGGCACTGGGTTTGATCCTCAGCACCACATAAAAATAATTAAAGGTATTGTGTCCATCTACAACTAATACTTTTTTAAAAATAGAGGTTCATGTTTTTAGAGCCAACAACTTAATTAGGAAGGTAAGATGCAGACACTCAAGCAGCAGTGAGCTTAAAGAAAAAAAAAAAAAAGGAGGTAAGGTAGTGAGATGAAGAATTCTGGGGTCAGGAAGCCTGAATTCTTACCATAGCTCCATCATTTATTAGCTGGGTATCCTTGAATAAGTCACTTAACCTTTTAGGACTATAGTGTTTTGTTTTGTTTTGCTACTGGGATTGAACCCAGTGGTTCTGTACCACTGAGCTATATCCTTAGCCCTTTTAATTTTATTTTGAGAGAAGGTCTCACTAAGTTTCCCAAGCTGATCTCAAACTTGAGATTCTCCTGCCTCAGCCTCCCAAGTAGCTGAGATTATAAGTGTGTACCACTGCACCCAGAAGACGTCAGTGTTTGTTATCTATAAAACAGGCATAGTACCTGCCAAGCTTAAGTTAGTGACTTGTCATGAACTTCAGATGAAAACCATGTAAGCACCTTATGAAATTTTCAAGTACTATGAAAATTGAAATGGTCTGATGTAATGGTTTTGTTGAGTTCTAAGCTGTGGTGCAGAATTTGTGCTATAGGAATCCAGAGAGAAAATAATTCTCACTGAGGGTGTGAGTCTTTGGAAAGGAAATAATGAACAGGGAGTAAAGCTGTAGTTGTCAACCTTGGCTACACATTGAAATAACCTGAAGCTTTAAAAAATACTGATGCTTGCCCCTTCCTTCACACACCAAGTTTCTGATATTATTGTCTGGGTTAGAGTCTGGCGACACTGGGTAGCTCTCCAAGGTAATTTTAATATGCAATCAAGGTTGAGAACTCCTGAAACAAGGGAGTTGCCTACACTCCTATTTTGTGCCAGGTGTTTTATGTCAAGTATCAAATTTGGCAAGATGGATGCTGCAGGTAGAGGTGGTACTGTGTGTCAAGGCACAGAAGTAGGGATGAACTGGGCATTTTGGTGATGTGGAGTGATCATATAAATGAACAGAGAGAAAGCAATGCTGGGAAAGGCAAGTTCGACCCTGGCTTTTTGAGATTTTGATCACACTAGAAAGAGCAATGTAAGTGTTTTCTTGAGGCCTGTGAAGCCATTACCATCTCCTAAGTAGCAAAGGTGATACATGAAGGGAAGGGATGGGAATCAGATTAGGAAAGAGAGTGGAAAGAATTGGACATAACTTTTCTTTGTTCATGTATGAATACATGACCAGTGAAGCTCCACATCATGTACAACCACAAGAATAGGATCCTCATTAGAATAATTTTATACTTCATGTACATATAATATGTCAAAATACACTCTACTGTCATATATATCTAAGAAGAACAAATACTTAAAAAAGAAAGAGGAATGAAGAAAAAATATAAAATCAATATGTTAAAGAGAAAAACAAACAAAACAGGTGGTACAGCAATAGGGGAGGATCTGAGATTTGGGTTGGAAGAGGAAAAAAACAAAACTAAGGGCTAGCAAACTCCTCCGGTAATCTAAGTGTGTCAGTACTGGGAGTAGGACCTGGTGGGGGAGCTTGGCTGCAGTGGGTATGAAGACTGTGAAATGCCAAGGTATTTAGGCCAGGTGCCTGGGAGAGTGGTGGTGCCAGGATGGGGGAGGATGAGCACCAAATAGTGACGTTTTAAACAGGTGGAATCAAAAATGCAAGAAGTGGTTTTGGTATGAGATACGTTTAATACTCAATTCCTGATCCTATTCCACTCCCAGGGGCTCTCTTTTATTATTTTCCTGCCCTAGGGTAAATCAATAGCCTTCCCTATGATCCTGACATGGTGTTAGTTTTTGGCATGAAGGTATAACCTTTGACTTTCTTACTTTTTCTCACCAGTTTGGGGGGCAGCTGGTCACTTTTGGCCTTTCCAGTACCCCTGCCCAGGAGTTGCCACAGCCTTGTCCCCGCCTTGTCTTCATCAGTCAAGTCATTACAGAATCTGAATTCCTGATGAGGTCACTTGAGCTTCAGGAGGCCTTGGGATCAGGAAATCTCATGAAATATTGTCAGAACAAGAGCCAGCAGGCTTTGCTGCCATGTGAAAAGATGCTCTGGCAGTTCCTAAAGGTAGGAAACTTGAAGGCTGGCCGCTCATCAGTGCTTCCCTAAAGCCTGGAACTCCAGCTTCTATCAACTCCAGGAGATGCACTACCACACTGTGGTCCAGAGTGCAGAGGCCTAATCCCCTGGGTTTTTCCTGTGTCCTCTAGACACAGAATCTTCACCCTGTATGAGAGGCTTAGAAGCCACTTGTGAAGATGGGGAGTGTAAGAGATGTCTTCCTTGATTGCAGCTATTGCTGATGCGCAGGATACTTTATCAGAGCCAAAGGAAGTTTTCACAGTATCATGCCAAATGCAGAGGAGTTGATGGGAAGGATGGAGAAAAAGAAGGAAGGGAAGAAGTTTAGCTGGAAGGATGCATCATCATAAGTAGGCTTTGAGTTTGTTTCAGATAACCCAAGGGAAGTCCTTTTGGTGGGCCTCAGGGTGCAGGTGCCACTCTGGAGGCATGGATTCAGTTCTAGTTCTCATTTAAAGTCAAGTTGCACCAGGAAGAGTACTACATCTGTCAAAAGAAATGAGCAATTGAGAAGTCTGAAGGAAGAAAGGGAAGTAGCTGGCTGACTTAGAATCTTTGGGATTCTAAGAGGATGAAAAAAAAATAGAACAGGGCTGTCCAGGGGGTCTGTGAGAAATTTGGGGTCTATGCATCAGACATACTAGAGCTTTATGAAAGTATACATCAGGACCTGGGAGAGAGGAAAGAATTTGAGAAAGATGTAGGAAGAAAGAGTAAGAAATGATGTAGGATACAAGCTCAAGGAATGGCAGAATGGGAAAGAGAACAGAAGTAATCAGGAAGTCAGTCTTTGTACTGCTGAGCAAGAAGAAGAAAAAGAGAAAGGTGGCTTTTCTGAGGGCTCTATGATAGAACTATATTTGAGGGCACACTGGCTCAGCTGTTTAGCTTGGTGCAGGAGGAGGGTCATTCACATTCATTTGGTGGAGACTTTTCTGTTATTCTCTGTTCCTTAGGTGACTTTAGAGCAAGACTCAAGAATAAAATTCCTAAAGCTTTTAGGATACAATAAAGATGAGCTTCTAGAGAAGGTAAGCTACTCTTCACATCTGAAACATGGACTTAATGCAGAGAACAAGAGAATTCTGCCAGAGAAAGCCATCTCAGAATACTACTTTATGGGATTAAATAATACATAAATGAGAATTTTACTTCTTGCATTTAGGCTTTTTCCCTGGAAGGTAGTTGAAGGATCTTAGTTCAGTTGATGGAGCATGGAGGTGGGAAGAGAACTTCAGCCTTGTTTGAACTAGAAAGTGTAGTATTAAATTAGATCTCTCTCTGCAGGTGACCACATGGTTGAAGAGGGACTTGGGGCCAGCAGAGAGCCCTCAGCCCAGGAAAGATAACTTTAACAGAAACAGACAACAAGTCTTCTGCAGCCAGGTATGATAAAATCCCAGCCAACCTTACCTGGTCTAGTATAGGGCACCAGTCTCTAGAGTATCTTCTATACTGGCACTTTGCTGTGCTCTCAATAAAGTGCTTAATTTCTGTAAAAATCTTCAAACTCCCAACTCTTTTGGAACCAGAATAAGACACAGAGTCCATAAGCTTTGGGGTTGGAAATGGAGCTGTGTCTGAATCAGCTCTTCTCAAATCTTACTGGTTATTTTTTTAGTTTTTAGTATTATCTTACCCAAATAGTAGCCGTACATAGTGATACAGGCCTGTAATTCCAGCTACTCAGGAAACTGAGGCAGGACGATTACAAGTTCAAGTCCAACCTAGGCAACTTAGTGAGACCCTGTCTCAAAATAGAACATTAAAAGGACGGAGGATATAGCTCAGTGGTAAAGAACCTCTGGATTTATTTCCTATGTAGTCACCTCTATCCTTCCTTACACAGGCCTCCAAACATACTACAGAGGATGCCTCTGCATCCTCAGCCTTCTTTGATGAGCTGGTTCCTCAGAATATGACCCCATGGGAGATCCCCATCACAGAAGGTACCCTTGCCTTAAAGAAGAGAAAATCTCTGCTTGGGAGCAGGTGGGCTCGGAGTTCTTGGACTTGAGATAGTCCTTTTTTTTTGTCTCCTGCTTCTTTCCCACCATCTTAAATATTGGCAAGTATCTTACTAATTAGAGCTTTCTCTGGTTATATTTTTATGGATGATTTCCTGTAGAAAATCTTATACTAAGATATTTTTTACTATTCTCATATCTTTTTTTGAAAAGGCCTTGGAACTTTCCATGCTGAGCAAGCACACATGATAACCCATGATCTTGCCACATAAGTCCCCTGCCTTGTCTTGAATCTTGTCTTTAGAGACCTGTCACCCCTGGATACCTCACTACATATTATTGCTAAGGAATGAAACTTGAGGGTTTTCTTGGGAGCAAGGAAAGCTGAATGGGATAGAGATAAGAGAGGGTGTGCTGTAGACCCTGCAGTGGACAGGAAGTGAGGGCAGGCTAATGTGGAGGGGATGCCTCTATCTGCAGACACTGATGGACTCCTGAGCCAGGCCCTGCTGCTTGGGGAACTGAGTTCTGCTGTGGAGCTGTGTCTGAAGGAAGAGCGTTTTGCCGATGCTATCATCTTGGCTCAGGCTGGGGGCACAGATCTGTTGAAACGGACACAGGAGCGCTATTTGGCCAAGAGGCAAACCAAAATTTCCTCGGTAATTGTTTATCATGCAGAGAAGAGGGAAAGAGATTACTAGACCTTGTCAGGTGGAGGCTTACACCTTGGGACTGGTGTTTAGAGTACTCTAATTACCCTTACCCTACTCAATTGTCTAACAAGAGGCCTGCTCATGAGTGTCTCTCTTAGTACATCTTTGTGTGTGAGACTGCTGCCCATGTGGATGGATGGCTGAGAGCCTCCTTCCTTCTCATCCTATTATAGCTTCTATCCTGTGTTGTGCAGAAGAACTGGAAGGATCTGGTGTGTGCCTGTAGCCTGAAGAACTGGAGAGAGGCACTGGCCTTATTGTTAACATACTCAGGGCCAGAGAAATTCCCTGAGCTCTGTGGTAGGTGTGGTCCTAGCTTTGGGATAAGCACTATGGCTTCAGCATGGAGTTAATGGACATAAGTAAGGAGGAGGCAAAGAAGCAGCCTGAACTCTGGGAGGCCAGGCTGTACTGTTAGAGCCAGGGTCTAGCTCAGCCAAAAAGCATGGATAGCAATTCATGTCCCTATTTCCAGTAGGGATCATTTATTTTTCTGTTTTACTTTTGTATGTCACATCTTAATGTGAGAGCTTTGCCTTTCACCAGAGGGCAAGGTTAGCCTTAGTATAATCTTAAAACCAGGTAGCTACTTGTTTCCATAGCTCATGATCCTCTACTTATTTCCAAACAGAGAAGAGAGGAGCAGCATAGGGAAGCTGTGTCATTAATGAAATCTGTATCTCTCTGCAGACATGCTGGGGACTCGCATGGAGCAGGAGGGTGGCAGGGCATTAACCTCTGAAGCTACACTCTGTTATGTGTGCTCAGGGAATGTGGAGCGGCTAGTAGAGTGCTGGGCAAAAGGCCACCAGGCCTCATCCCCCATGGCTCTGCAGGTACCTTTTCTCTTTAGGATTCTGGCCACTCCATATCAGGCCCTCTGGAGAGGCTAGTGGTGGGGATGTGCAGAGATAACAGAGGTGGGTCTTCTGGGTACAGACTAGAGCCAAGGTCTTGGGGAGGAGCAAAAGTCCCTCAGGGTCTGGGATCTTCTCCTAAGGTCACTTCTTTCCCTCAGAGAAGAATAAGCAGCAGCTGCGTGGGCATTAACCGTCATAAACTTTTCCCATTTCAGGTTTGGTCACACAAGTGTTTTCAATATTTGAATAGTTGTAAGCCTGGATTTTCCATTAGCTTCTGTGAAAATTTCTGTGAATCTAAATTGTATCAGATGCTCATTGAATCACCAGAGAAGATAGGGGGTCACAGATTCACAGAAAGACAAAAGTCACACATGAAACAATTACAATAACAGAGTCTGGGGCTGGGGATGTGGCTCAAGCGGTAGCGCGCTCCTCTGGCATGCGTGCGGCCTGGGTTCAATCCTCAGCACCACATACAAAAACAAAGATGTTGTGTCCTCTGAAAACTAAAAAATAAATATGAAAAATTCTCTCTCTCTCTTTAAAAAAAAATAACAGAGTCTGTGGTTGATGATGTACTTGCAGAAAGGGTAAAGAAAGCAAAAAGAGGAGGCAGAGATTAGTAAGAATCCAAGACCCAGATAAGTCCAGTTGAACCCAATCCCAAACAGCTTGGGAAATTAGGCCAAGTGGTCCTTTACTGTCGTGTCTCCAATATGTTAGCTTCTGCCTTTAACTGGGTATGGATCAGATATTAGTAACTTCTAGTGCCAAAACAGAGGCTTATACTAAGCACTGTGGGACTTTAGGGAAGGGGCTGATTTTGTCTGGGGAAGTCATAGTGAGACATTCCTGGGTGAACTGCCTGGATTTAGAGAACAATGTGCTTTGAACAGGTCTGACCACCCTCATCCTTGTCCCTATAGGACCTGATAGAGAAGGTAATGGTCCTTAACAGGAGCTTGGAACCTCAGCAGGCTCCTAATGGGATAAGCCCAGGCCCTACTACAACCTACAGGATCACCCAGTATGCCAACCTCCTGGCAGCTCAGGGCAGCCTTGCCACTGCCATGAGCTTTTTACCCAATGACTGTGCTCAGGTGAGTGGGGCCATGTGAGAGAGCAAACCATTTCATTCTGTCATCTAACACTGGCTGAGCATTTCCACATTTCAGGCACTAGGCTAATACTGAATCTCCTAGGATAAATAAGAACTCATCCCTTAAGCAATTCACAATATGTTGGGGGAGATCAGATATTAGCAACTTCTAGTGCTATAACAGAGGCTTATGCTAAGCACTGTGGGACTTAGGAAAGGCGCTGGTTTTATCTGGAGAAGTCAAGGAAGTCTTCCCAGTGGTTAAAACAGTTGAGCTGGACCTTTAAAAGTGAAGTAGCTTACCAAAAGGTGTAGGGTTTTCTAGGAAGAAAGACTAGCCAAGAGGGAGTATGCAAGTGTTTGTCAGGGACTAGGGAACTTTGAGTTATTTATGGTGTCTAGAGTATAGAGGATCATTGGAAGCTTGAGTGATAAAAGGGCCAGTCTTCTAAGAGAAGATGTTTGCTTGTTTTCATTTTGTTAACATGGTTCTTCCTTATTACAACTCTTGTAGCCACCAGTTCAGCAGCTAAGAGATCGGCTTTTTCACGCCCAAGGTTCTGCTGTCCTGGGTCAACAGTCCCCCCCTTTTCCCTTTCCCCGGGTTGTTGTGGGAGCTACCACCCCCKTCAAAGAGACATCATCTTACAGATTGGGATCCCAGCCTTCTCACCAGGTAAGACTTTATTTGTTAATTCATTTGTTCATTCATTCAAAAATACTTAGATTCCAGACATAGTTCTAGGCACTTGGAATATGTTAGTGAAAATTCCTGATTTCCTAGAATTCTGTTATCTTTCTAATAATTATTTATTGAACAACTACTAGCCTTTTAGAATACAAAGGTACACAAACTATGATCCCTACCCTCAAGTAACTCAGTCTAGTGAAAAAATAGATATGTAAAAAATAACTACAGTAAAATTCATAAATGTCATGATTGGGCTATGGGTTCACACAGAAGAAAGCAGTTTATTCTGTGTGTGTGCTGGCAGAGTTACAGTTCAGGGAATGCTTTAGAATAAGTATGATGCATGATCTGAGTCATGAAGGTTAAAAGTTATTTAGAAGAGAAAATGGATAGGTGAAGGCTGACTTAGGCACAGGGAATATAAACAGAGGCTTTTTGAGGAATGACTGATTATTTTAATGGAATTTCAAAATAGGTGTATGTGGTCATAGAGTGTGAGGTTAATGAAGGTGGAACAATGAGTAGGAGATCATTAAGTATCCGACATTCTGTGCTGAAGAATTTAGACTTGTCCCTTAGAGCAGGGAGAAGTTACTGAACACTTTCGTCTAGGGAAATAGCACGATTAGCTATGTGTTTAGGAAGGACAAGGCTCAAGGCCGTTAGGAAACCAAAGCAAGAGATGGTGAGGGGCTATGGCTGTGGATGTGGCCCGGTGGTAGAGCGCATGCCTAGCATGTGTGAGGCTCTGGGTTTGATCCTTAGCACCACATAAAAATAAAAAATAAAATAAATAAGTAAAGGTATTATGTCCATCTACAACTAAAAATATTTAAAATAAAAGATGATGAGGATATAAAAAACCGATAACTGGATAGGGAGGTTATATTTAAGATATTTAGTAGATAGAATTCACAGAAATTGGTGATAGTTTAGAAGGCTTGCGTGTGGTAGGAAGATTGAGAGAAAGGAAGGAGTTGGAAATCCTTCCCAGGTTCCATCCAAAGTGTCCAGGCAGATTGGGTACAGTTAACATGTGAGACCAGGAGCTTATTAGAGGTATTGGGGAATAAAACCCAAAGAGATTTGAGGATAGAAGTATCTTCCATTTCCATCTTAATTTCACGTCTTTTTCTCTCCTCTTTTCCTCCCTTCCTTTCTCTCTTCCTCTCTTTTTTCTACTATAATTACAGATTCACAGGAGGTTACAAGGAATATTTGGGAACATTTCCCGAAATACTCTGTACTAACATTGCACATAACCACAGTGTAATATCAAAATGAAAAAGTGAACATTGATACAACCCATACATTCATATTTTATCAATTTTTCATGTATTAATTTGTGTGTGTTTGTGTGTGTGTAACTTCAGTTTTGTCACATGCATAGCCTTATGTAACCAACACCTCAATCAAGATATTCAGTTGTACCATTATAAAATTAAAAGATTTCAATACTCTCTAATTACCTTTTCATAGCCACACCTAACCTCATTTTTCTGTTGGCATCGCTAATATGTTCTTCAGCTTTTTAATTATGTTATTTCACTATTGTCACATAAATAGAAACATGAATATATACCCTTTGAGACTGTCTTTTCTCAGCATTATGTAACTCAGGTTCATCCATGTTGTATCATTTATTTTTAAAAAAAAATCTTTATTTTGTTTATTTATATTCATGTGGTGTTGAGGATTGAGTCCAGTGCCTCACACATGCTAGACAAGTGCTGTACCATTGAGCTGCCACAGGTTTTTAAAATTTATTTTAAATTTTTTTAGTTATTTACCCTTTGAAGGACATTTGGGTAGTTCTCAGTTTGGGGCTATTATGAATAAAGCTGTTGAATGAAAATAAGTCTTAATTTCACTGGGAAAAATGCCTCAGAATATAAGAACACAATTGCTGAATTCTATTATAACTTCATTTTTTGTTTTGAAAGTAATAGCCAGTCAATTTACCAAAATGGTCATACCATTTTACATTCTCACCAGCAATGGAAGAATGATCCAGTTTCTCTGTATCTCCACTAGCCTTTGGTATCATCATTGTTTTTCAACAGCCATTTTGATATATGGGTGATGATAGTTCATTTTGGTTTTAATTTGAATTTCTCTAATGGCTAATGTTTTTGATATTTTCAGATATTTGCCATCTATATATCCTCAGTGAAATGTCTATATGTCACATTTCTATTTGGATTGTTTTGTTTTTTAATGTTGAGGTTTAAGAGTTCTACATATTTTCTAGATATGAGTCATTGATTAGTTGGATATGTCATTTGCAAATATTTTATCTCAATCTATAATTTGCCTTTTCACCTTTTTAAGAACCTTTCACAGAGCAAGTTTTTAATTTTATGAAGTCCAGCCTATAAAGTTTTCCACCTATGGATCATGCTTTTGGTGTCAAGTTTAAGAATTCTTTACTTAGTCTTAGGTCCCCCGAGTTTTCTCATATATTCTTTCTATAAGTTTTGTCATTTTGTTTTATATTTACATTCATGTTTAATTTTTTAGTTGATTTTTTTTGTAGAACATATGAAATTTAGATCAAGATTCTTTTTTTTTGGCTAATGGATATTCAGTTGCACTAGAGTATTTACCGAAAAGGCTGACCCTTCTCCATTGAATTGATTTTGCTCCTTTGTCAAAAACTAAGTAGGCATATTTGTGTGGATTTATTTCTCAGTTTTGTTCCCTTGATCTTTGTGTCTGTCCCTCTGTCAATACCATTCTATCTYKRTYAMTACCATTATATAATAAGTCTTGGTGTGGGGAAAAGTAATTCCTCCCACTTTATTTTTCTTTTTCAAAATTGTTTTGGGTATTTTAGAACCTTTCCCTTTTCCCATAAATGTTGGAATAAGTTTGTCTCTATCTACAAAGAATTGTGTTAAGATGGTCATCTTAATTCCTGGTCATAGGAATTGCATTAAAACTATAGATTAATTTAGGGAGAAACAGCGTCTTACTATGAGTTTTCCAGTTCATGAACATGCTTTTTCATCAGTATTTTACAACTTTCATCATTCTTATTCTTTGTCTAATTCACGCTTAACTATTTAATATTCTCTTGAGCTTGAAATAAAACATTTTGATTTCCACTCATTCATTGTCAGTGTATAGAAATGCAGTTTATTTTTGTGTGTTGGTGGTGTATCTTGTTACTTTTCTGAATTTACTTAGTTGTTCTAGAAGTTGGTTGGTTTTGTGTGTGTGTGTGTGTGAGTGTGTGTGTGTGTATGTGTGTGTGTATCCCTTGTGATTTTGTATATACACAGTCATGTTTACATATAGGGACAGTTTTCTTTCTTTCCAGTCAGAATGTCTTTAATTTATTTGTTACCTTATTGAAGTGATTGTGACTTCCAGTACTATGCTAAATAAGAGTAGTGAAAGTGAATATCCTTGCCTTGTTTCCAGTCTTAGAGGGGCAAACATTCAACATTTCACCATTAAATATGATATTAGATTTAAGTTTTTTGTAAATTCTCTTTCTGAAGCCAGGGAATTTTGTCTCAATTCCTTGTGTTTTAGCCTATTTTGTGCTACTAAAACACAATACCAGAGGTTGGGCAATATATAAAGAACAGAAATTCATTTCTCATAGTTTTGGAGGCTGGGAAGTCCAGGATCAAGGCACCAGCAGGTTTGGTCTCAGGTTCCAAGATGGCACCTTGTTGCATCCTCCAGAGTGGAGGAAAGTGGTCCTAACATGACAGAGGCAGGATAGCAATTGAGAGTGCACCTACTTCTGAACGCAATTTTATAGTGGCATAAACACTTCCAAAATGTCCCACTTCCCAACAATGTTGCATGAATTTCCAACACATGGATTTTAGGGGATACATTTAGATCACAGTACCTTATGTACTAGATCATGAATGAATTTTGTCAGATGTTTTTTCTGCATCATTTTATATGACATATAAAATATTTTTATTCAGTTTGATGATATGGTAGATTACATTGATTGATTTTTAAATATGTTAGACCAGGCTTGCCTGAACTGGAATAAATCTGTCTTGGTTGTGGAATGTTATTTTTATACACATTGTTGGATTTGACTTGCTAAAATTTTGTTAAGGGGACTGGGGATGTGGCTCAAGTGGTAGCGCGCTCGCCTGGCATGTGTGCAGCCCCGGTTCGATCCTCAGTACCACATATAAACAAAGATGTTGTGTCCGCTGAAAACTAAAAAATAAATATTAAAATTCTCTCTCTCTCTCTTTAAAAAAAAAGAATGTGGTCCTCATTAATTATATAATGTATTTCAATTTCTTAAAAAAAGATAAAATTTTGTTAAGGATTTTTGTATCTAAGTTCGTAATATTGGTCTGTAGTTTTATTTTGTGCTGTCTTTGTCTGGTTTTGGTATAGAATAATGCTGGTTTTATAAAATGAATTAGTGGGGCTAGGGATATAGCTCAGTTGGTAGAGTGCTTATCTTGCATGCACAAGACCATGGGTTCAATCCCTAGCACCACAAAAAAAAAAAAAAAAATAGGACTGTTCTTTCTATTTTCTTGGAAGAGTTTATGTAAACTATATGTTAATTTGAACCCTTGGTCAAATTCTCCAGTGAAAACATTTGGGCCTTGAATACTTTGTGGGGGATTGAATTTTTAAATTATAAATTCAATTTCTTTCTTTCTTTTCTTTTCTTTTTTTTTTTTTTGGTGTGGTGCAAGGGATTGAACCCAGGGCTTTGTGCATACTAGGCTAGCACTCTATCAACTGAGCTATATCTCCAGCCCTTATAAATCCAACTTCTTTAATAATTATGTGACTATTTATTTTTATCTTTTGTTTTGGCTATTTTCATTGCATGTCGTTCTTGAGGAATTGGTCCATTTCTTTTAAGTTATTGAATTTATGAATTTAAAGTTACTTGCGTATTCCTTTATTATTTTTTTAGTAGCTTCAGGGTCTGCTATAATGCTCCCTATTTCATCTCTGATATTGATGACTAATGTCTTCTCTCTTTATCTTATCAGTCTTTATAGAGATATATAAATTTTATTAATATTTTTCAAATAATTAATTTTCATTTCATTAGTTTTCTGTATTGTTTTACTGATATCGATTACTCATATCTCTTTTCTTTTCAAGAGCTGACGCTTTTTTCTCTTCACAGGTTCCAAGTCCATCTTCAAGGCCTACAGACACATTTCAGCCATCACTAGTAATGCCCTTGACACCCTCCCATCCTATCCCCTGTCAGAGCTTCAGGACGAAGATTATAAGTGACTACAGGACACCTGAACCCCAGGCAATCCAGCCTTTGTCTTTGGGCCCTGGGGTCAGGCCTGGTGAGTAAGTGGAGATTTGTTTGGGCACAGAATGGAGGTCTCAGGAAAGACAGACATATTCCCTCCCAAATTCATGTTGGTCCGGTTTAGAGAGGATCTGGTTTTGTTTTGTTTGTTTATTTTAGTTTAAAAATTTWAAAAAAAAATTTTTTTTTGAGAGAAGAGCTTCAGAGTTGCAATCAAAATTCCTATCCCTTACTGAGTTTTTAACATTCTCTCTTATGTTAAAGACTTTGTATATTTTGGTAATATACCAAACTTGTTATACTGGTGATTTCAATCCTATACGATTATTTTGAGGGTCAAATAAGGAGAACAGTTAAAGTACTTTATAAATTATAAGATCTCTTTACACTTGGAATAAGAAGTCAAGAAGAGTAGCTTGAGGTAAAACTGCCTTTTATTTATTATTATTGTCAGTTGTGGTGTTTTGGTTTTTGTTCTATTTTGAAATTTTTGAGACAGGATTTCGCTATGTTGCCTAGGCTACCCTCTAACTCCTGGGCTCAAGTGATCCTCATGCCTTCTGAGTAACTGGAACCACAAACATGTGTCACCATACCTGGCTTGTTTTATTTTGTTGCTGACCTATTCCTGTCTGATATACTGAATCTCTCCCAAATTGAAGTTTGGAGACAAATTACCTATTTCTGTTCTACTTCAGCTTTATCTCAGCTGCAACTATTAGGAGGACAAAGGGCTCCACCCTCAAACCCTGTGAGATTCCCTGGATCATGGCCTGTTTCTGGTCTTCCTTCACCCATGGCAGCCCCAGACATCATGGTGCCTGGCTCTACTTCTCTGTCTGAGACTCCTAGACTACTCCCTCTGCCTTCTGTGAAACCACCAGGTCCCAGCCCTCTGAGCTCCCAGCTCCTGGCCCCTCCTGCCTACTCTCCTGTAACTTACCCTCCCGGAGGGCCAGGTGCTCCATGCTCTAGCTCTCTCTCAAGTGCTAGCATCTTGACCCCTCATCAAGGTCAGTTTTCCTTCCATGGCTTCCCCCTTGTCGGCTGTTGCCTCCTTTTCCTCCCCTCCTACCACTGTCTCAGAGTCTTTTCCCTCAAGCCAATGAACTGGGGCCCTTTGGTTTGGAGGTTGTTAGCTGGGAGTGTGGCTGGTCTGCAAAGGGAGGTGTGACAGATTCCAATTAAAATAATTTTTCTAGTCTTCAGACTAAAACTTTCTAATGTTCCTGACCATGCCCCTAAAAACTCCTATCTTTTTATTCTACAGGACCTCAAGGAAATCTCCAGAGGAAAAAGGTCAATGTATTGTTCCTTATCCACCCCCTCATATATTCAGCAGTGACCCACTTTCTAGTTCTTTATAGAATTAAACCCCTTTCTTCCCATTCTTGGGCTGCCTCTGCCCTTTTCCCAGTCTTCCCCCTCAGCACCACCTTCTTTCCCTCCTATATACATTCACCAGTCTCCCTTTTTCCACTTTCCCACTCACTATCTTGTTTCCTTAACTCACTATATATCTACCATTCCCCAAAACTAAGGCCTATAGGGTTTCTCAGCTTAGATTCATGTGCCTTTCTTTCTCTCTTTAGCTCCCAGAGATATTTATGCCTCTAGCACCAATTACTGCTCCAGTTAGGAGCCTTATCCCTGAGCCACAACGGGTCCTTCCATCACAGACCCCCATTTCCAGTGTGAATCATGCTCCCCCTGGAGCTCCAGGAGAACTCAGCCTACAGGTGACAGGGACAACTGTTCCCCTGCTCTGGGAAGCCTTCCAGCCCTCCTTAGGAGTAAAAGTGGGGAGCATGTAGCTGGGCATCATTTTTCAAGGTAGAGGCAAACCTATTCTCTGTTCTTACTATAGAGAATGGAGGGCTCTCTCCTCAGCTCTGTTGTACTCTAATGGGAGCAGTATGCCTGACCCTGAGTCACTGAGGATGAGACCTTAGGAAAACCATGAGAAAGGTAATTTTCTTGCCTGTCCCTTCTCCTCACTCCTTCATTAGCAACGTCAGCAACCACCTCCTAAGATGATAGAAAGAAAGGCACTGCCCCCAGAGCATCAGTCCTTGAAGACCAGCTTTGAGGCACTTCTCCAGCGCTGCTCCCTTTCTGCAACTGACTTAGTAAGTTTGAACCTTCCTGTGATGCCCTCTTCATACTCTCAGCTGGTTTCAGGATGTCTCTGGAGACCAGTTCCTTCACTATCCCTGTATATGCTGACCATATTTCAGACTTTTTAGAAGTCCATGCAGAGTAGGGGAGGGACTTGGAGTCTGGTCCAAAGTCTAGCTCCATGGTAGCAGGACCCAACAGCATGGAGACTTATAGGCAATGGGGTGTACAGAAGAAGGGGGAAGCCATCAGGAAGAACAAGTGCCGTTCATTTCCTAGCTATATCAGCTTAAGCAAGTCATTACTATCTTTGGGTTTTCATTTCCTCCTCTGTGAAATGAAGGAAGTAGTACTAAGTCATTCTAGGTTTAATGTAGTGGATTCTTTATAGCCCTGTGTTAGGCTTATGGGCTGGGTCAAAAACCATTTGCCTCCCTACAGAAGACAAAAAGGAAGCTGGATGAGGCTGCCCAACGTCTAGAAGGTCTATATGAGAAACTCTGTGAGGGGACGGTGAGTATATACCTGTGTTCCCTCTGCCTCATGCCCTCCCACTACTTTCCATGAGCAAAGGAAGCCCAGAGTCTTCTTTCCATAGAAAAGACTGCTCCCCACCTCAAATACCCACATATTTCCTGAATGGGAAGAGATGGGGCTCTGGAACTTGAGGCTGTCTTATCTCTTTCAGGCTGCCAGGGTGGGGCTGGTCGAATTTATTAACCTAAGGGCAATCCCTCCACAGCTCTCACCTCATGTCCTGGCTGGGCTACATGAAGTCGCCCGATGTGTGGATGCAGGAAGCTTTGAGCAGGGCCTTGCAGTGCACGCCCAAGTGGTGGGCTATAGCAGCTTCAGCGAAGTGTCCAGCTTCATGCCTATCCTGAAGGCTGTCCTCACCATTGCACACAAGCTGCAGGGCTAAGCCAGTCAGCCTCTCTTGCCAAGAGGCCACTTCTGTATTACTTAACTACCCCCTGCAGAGAAGGAAAATTGTGCAACAGATTCTGTTTGTTTTTCCCCACTTTCTTCCCTTGCTGCCAGGTATATGATGCTGTGGACTTGGCTCCAAACCAGCTGAGTTCCTGCTTTTTTTTTTTTTTTTTTTTTTTTTTTACCCCTTTATGCCTGACCACCTCCTGTCTATCCAAAACACTCAGTGCTGGAGGCAGGACAGAGAGCCAGGTCTTACTTTCCCTAATACAGTTTTCTGACAGGACCTAGGCCATGAGGTCTTCTCCCACAGGGATATTCTGTTCGAGTGGCTTCTGATAGGGTGAACAGGGTCATTACTTCCAATTCTACCTCTACTGTAACCTATCTTGGGAATCTTTTGTTTTTCCCTTCTGAGGTTTGTGAGCCTGACCTTACCTTCTCCTTGCCTCTGACTTTATATTTCCAGATCCATATTCTCTTGTAGCCCCAGCAGCTGGGGACAAGTTGGGTGCTGTTTACCATTCAAACAAGTCATAGACATGAGGGTTTGCAGTTGAACAGAACCAAGAGAGGAAGTTCTAGTCCTTTAAAAATGGAACCTGTCATGTGCCAGCATTTTTTAAGGGTAAACAAAGTTAAGGAGCAGGCAGAAGGGGTGAACTGCCTTTTTCTGGGAGCTATCTTAGGCTATGAGATAGGAGCAGAGGGACAACAGCCTACAAAGGAATGGTCTTCGACTCCACATTTGAGCCTGGCCCAAGGACTTAAGCTATTCATTCTGTGATTATAAGCCCTATTYTGGAATAGGAACCATATTAACAAAAGATGTCTTCTAGCCCTGCTCCTCAAGGGTTGGGGTTCTTCTTCCCCTCAGCCACCATATATCTCAGGGCTTCCTTCTCTGGCTGCATTTTCATGGTAGGAATTCTGCATTTGATATATGATATATTTAATAATGCAATAAAGCTGCTTTGATTTGGTTTGCTCAGTGATCTCCCAATTATTGTCTCCTCTGGGACCTATTTTGCCATTACCTCTCTTTTGAGTCCTTTCTCTTCTTGCTCCCTATATCCTAATAATCAAGTGAAAGTCTTGGAGAGAAATATGAAGTGGAGAGTTGAAGAAAGGATCTTGATTTCAAGTCCAGTCCCATGGACTTGCTGGCCAAACTGCCGTGATGTGTGTGTATGTGTGTGTCTCCATCCGTGCCTGACATTCAGCTCCAGGGTTTTCCCCACACCACTTGAGGGCTGAGCTCAGCTGCACAAAAGGACTGGGTGTGAAGCCAGGGGGTACTAGCTCTAATCCTGTTGTCGATCCCATCATGTCTGCAGGCTAGATGTGTGTGTTTGGGAGGGAGGGATTGTTAGGCAGTATTTGTTTGTAAAGCCACTTGCTCTTCAGATAATACTTGCACTAACTTCTATTGATGAAGCAGTGTGAGCCCCAGCAAAGTCCTTTCCCAAAGTGTCTTTGAAGCCAAGAGCCCATTGAAGGGAAGAAAGGCTGGGAGAGGGGATTAGTTTGTTCAGCAGCTGTGAATTTCAGTGGGAGGTTGATGAACTCTGAAGTCTTTGTTTAAATTAAAGGGGGGGAGAAAAAAGCCGCTGTTGGAGCGAGAGCCCCACTTGGGGCCCTGAACTAACACAAGGAGAAGTCTGAGCTGCAGGGAGCTGTGTACTGACTGCGAAGACTTTTCCCAAACACTTTCGGAAAAGGTGTTGTGAGAAGAGAAGGGGGCGGAGTAGCGGATTAACATGTGAAATGAAGTTTTCATTGACTCTGGTGGGGGTAGAAGGCTATTTTAATGGCATTTTGTTCCCCTATTTTCTCTTCTGGAGCTCTTTAGAGATATTGTTTTGCTAAGACAGGCTTTCTTTCCCCTTCTTTCCAGTCTAAGGATTGCCTCTATGGGAGCCAACATAAATATTTCTCCTCCAGGAATGCGGGTTAATTAAAAGGAAATGAATGAGTGGAAGCATCCAATCCAGACCCACAATAGGCAAGTGCCCTGGACTGCCCTCCCCTCCCACCACCACCAGCACCACCAGCACACTGAGTATGACCCTGTCTTTGCCCTGACCTGCTGCTAAGGCCAGTTGAGGCTGGGATTCTTTTCAGGAAAAGAAAGCTCTGCCTGTGTGTAGGCTTACAGGCCAGGGACAGGAAAGAGACAGTGTTTTGCCCACCCTACCCAGTCAGTGTTCTTGTCACTTCTTAGGACCTCCCTCTGCTTCTGTCTTCAAGCTGAGACAGATGGGCTCCTAAAGAGCCCACAAGAGGAAGGAAGGGGCCTGGGTTCCAGTACTCACCCTACAGTGACTTACAAGCCAGTCATCTTTCTCAGCATCAGTCTAAGTCTGTAAAACAAAAGGTTTAGCTGACCTCAGAGGTGTCTTCCTAAGCAATAGTTCTGGAATTGCCTATGTTTGTTAAGGGGAACACAGCCCTGGCAATTAGTGTTAGATAGGAACCCATGAGTGCACCAGTGTTGACTGAGTGAATGAATGAATGAATAATGAAAAAGGGGTTAAAAAAAAGCAATGCAGATCTAAGATAGCTCAACAATGTTTTCTTTATAAAACTCAAATCATTCTGGTATCAATCATATCTATTTGGGGATACAAAACAATAACCTATGAAAGAACTTCCTGGCAGCATAACATGTTTGGAGTGCTGACCTGTTGTCACCAATTTGAAGCACAATAGTTCTCTTATGTTGGGAGACCTCTGGGAGAGTACAGCTTTACTTTACAACATTTACTTTTATATTTTCTAGTCGCCTTGCCAGATTTTCTTCCTATCACAAGTAACTCTGCCAAATGAGACAACTAGGTTAGTATATGCTGCTGCTTGATTAGAAAAGAAGAATGGCTTGGGAGACCCAGGAGGCCCAAGAGCTGAGAAAACAAGCAAAAGGCCTTTTGCTGATAAAGCTGGAAATTAAGCATTAAGAAACCCTGAAGGGAAGTGTATCCCCCTGGTAAGGAGGAAAGGGAACCTCTCTTCCAGTAAGTATTAGTCAGACCAGAAGATGTAGGGGTGAGACTAGGGCCTGGGTCTAATTTGGCCACTGTCTCAGTTTAGAGTATAAGAGCCCTTCTGTTTTTCCAGAGCTTGGATTTTGTGACCTCTGCACTTTTTCCTGCTTTGGAAGAAAAGGGATAAGTCTAGCATATGACCAGTTCTACTCTGGAAGAGCTGCCTGGTGTCCAGACCCAGGACTGGCCCAGGGCAAGGAAGCAGGCTGGGAAGCTCTTGGGGCTGCAGAAGGACTGTAAGGAATTGGCTCTTCATTCCCAAGAGCTCTGTTTCATAAACAAGTTCATGCGGAATGCTTCTCTCTGAAAAATGGAACCAAAAAGACTCAAGTACCACAAGCAGCAAGCTTTTGGCTATGGAGTGACTGTATTAGTGGAAGGTTTATGTGGATGATTTACTAATCCTCAAAAGATTAGCCTCAATCAAGTCAGGCTAGCTACTTAGGCTATCAAGGAAGCAAGTTTCTAGGGAAAACAGTATCCTGCCATGGTGGGAAGAAAATAAGAGTCTCAAAGTTATATCTTCTACCCCACCCTACCCCAGTATCCCCAAGAAGAAGCTCAGTACCCAGGAAATGGGGCACATATCATAATGATTGCAATAAATTAAAGTTCAAGGTGCTGAACTTCCTATTAGCAACAGTTTCATTGCAGGAAGTTTACTTATTGAAGGAAAGTATCCAATGCCCTGAACTCTGCCTGTTGGAGAACCAGGTGAGTGAAAGGAAGGGGCTCTGCTTCTTCCTATGGCCTGCCTTTAGAGGTGCAGACAGGGTCCGAGTGGGAAATTGCCTTTATTTACCTCAGTTTTGGCTCAGAGGAACAAAGCTTTGGAAAGGAAAAAAGGTGAAGTTGTTTTCTGGGAAGAAATAGGTTAGGAGCAGGGAGAAGATAACTTTGAAGGGAAGGAAATAACAGTAATCTGTGTTTACATAGTTTCTTGACCTCTTGGGTATAATTCTGGAGTACCCTGGGTGATCATCTAGGAAGATAGTTACCTCACTGGTAAAGTCCATTGGTGACATGGTGTCACAAGAAGTACCACCCTGGTGTTCAGCAAGTCAAGTTCCCTTTTACACCATATTCTACTTCTTCCTCTAGGGACCAATCCCTAAGGTACATTTATTCCCAGGTCAGGTTTTTTTGTTTGTTTGTTTGTTTGTTTTCTTTTCAGAGGAAGGGGAAAAGGGGAAGGAAAGAGAAAGTGTTAGAGATTCCTGGGAGTATCTGGGTCAATAGCAGGAAGTTGCAAGATCGGGATGGGCTCTGCAGGAAGGGAATGCCCCTGCCATCGGGCTTGGTAGCAGACAATGGGCAAGAGAAAAAGACATGGCTTTACCTGAGCCCTCCATGTCTGAGAAGGGTCCTTCTAGTTCCCAAGTCTTAGTCAGGCTTAGGCCAGTTGGGAGGTGGGGTCGGGGAGGAGCGCCTATTTTTCACCCTAGTCCAAGGAAGACCAATAGCGCAGTCTTAGAACAGGTCTCACACCAAAGTGTGGGCTGTGAGGAGACGCAGAACCAATTCTAGGAGAGCACAGAGAAATTGGGGAAACGTTAGGGAAGTGGCAAGCTCCAGAAAGATTGCATCCTCTCCCTCTCAGGATCTCTGGACTTGGGAGTGCGGGGTCCCCAATTCCTAGGTTCCTCTATTACTGGGGTCGCTAAACGAAGCCAAGGACAAATTGGGAAAGGAGGCAGGAGAGGAGACACTTAGGGTTTTCTCCCGGGTTTGTGCGCAGCGCCTCCCCGCGGCCGCTCTGCGCGGCTACAGAAGTACTTGGTGACCCGCCGGCGGCACTGCTCACAGCGGACAGCACAGCACCAGTGGAACTTGCAGTTACAGCTGGACACGGTTTCCGCGCGGCGCTCCTCCACCGCCAGCCCACAATCCCCGCACAGACGGCGGCAGCTGCGGCGCTCCCAGCGGCCCAGAGCCCGCCCGCGCCGCAGGCATTCCCGGCCTTCAGTGCCCAGCAGCCCTAGCGTCTTGTTCTCCAGGCAGTAGTCTGGGGAGTCCTCCAGGTGCACCAGCTCCCTGGTGGAGATGGAGCGGAAGGTGTCGGCGATGGCGCCGCGGCCGGCAGCGCTGTTGCCAGCACCCTGCAGTAGGTCCACCTTGAGAGCCGCGTGGTATTTCTCCTTCAGGTGCGCGCCCACCTCGCGGAACTCAGGCAGCTGCAGCCAGCAGGTCTGTGTGGTGCAGCTGCCAGACACGCCGTGGCACTTACACGTGCGTTTCATGGTGCCCTTCACCGCCTAGGGAGAGAGTGGAGTAAAAGCCCTGCCCCGGAGGGATTGCGAGGCGCCCAGCTAGTCTGCTCATCCAGCCCGTTTAGTATTTGAATGAAGAATTGTCCATACCGAGGGCTGGTAGTGGTTAGTACTAGCTGCTTAGTCCCAGGGTCTGTGAGACTCACCTTACGGCCGGCCTCGTTATTATGAAGATTCATGGCTGCCCGGGCATCCTGTCCTGTTTCCAGGGCATCCACAAACTGCTTGGAGATTGCCTCTCCGAAGCCCACGTTGTCGCTGCAGCCTCCCCACAGCCAACCTTGACCCCCTGGAAAAGTGCAGGGGGGAAAGGTCATTGAGCAGGCCAACGCAGAGTTTCCAGGGCTGCTGTTTCTAATTGGACTTGGGGGGAGGGGGTGGCAGGGGTCACTGTCTGGGATAGGAAAAGATTAAGGTTGGGCTAGTGCCCTGTGTCGGGATTAGTTTCAGTCTAGAAGGTTTGTTTTTGCCACCTTTGCAGTCCCACTTCCAGCCAATTCCCTGCTCAGGGCTCCATGACGTTTGTGGTTGTCTAGTGGACTGATTCTCTGCCTGGGAGCTCCCCTGCCTCTACTCAGTAGGCACAGTGAGCACCATGTCTGTCAGTGATTGAGGTCCTCAAGAGGTAAAATTGTGTGCAAAGGTGAGGAGAGCTCAAGGCTGAGGGAGGAAAAGAGGGGCAATTGAAATAATATGGAAAAACGAAGTTGGAAATTGATTGGGTGGACACAGAGGAGGATTAGCAGCTGCAGTGGAGGCAGAGTGGAGAGTAGAGCAGGATAGACAAAATAAAAGGAAGTCCTCCTGCATTCAAGAAGGAGGTGATTTGAGTCTATAGAGCAAGTTGTTCCATCATCATCACCACCATCATCATCTGTTTAAATTAAGGAAATCAATCAGTGAGAGAAGAGGGTCCCAAGCAACATTTAACTGTGTTTGTCACTGTAGGGTTTGTGCTCAAACTGGGTCACCCATCGTCAGCATGATTTTCCTTGTATTAGAAAAATGTTGAGCTGGGGATGTGGCTCAAGCGGTAGCGCGCTCCCCTGGCATGCGAGCGGCCCAGGTTCGATCCTCAGCACCACATACAAACAAAGATGTTGTGTCCACTGAAAACTAAAAAATAAATATTAAAAAATCCTCTCTCTCCCTCTCACTCTCTCTTTTTTTTTAAAAAGAAAAAAAGAAAAATGTAACTTTATCCCACCAATCTTTTCATTCTTTAAGTGAACTTCCCTGGCCTGTACTACGTATCTCATCGCTACTCACCCAGTTGCCCATTGCGGGAGTCATCACATCCACAGTTGTCAAAATCTCCAAGGCTGCAGTTTCTGGTCAGAGTGTACATGACTCCAGCAGAACTGATGGCATGTACAAATGCTGTCTCCCGATTAGCTGGCAGGAATAAAAAACATCTAGAGAGTTAGAGGCAGAGGTTGCAGTTAAAAGAAACACTGGTTATGTTACTTTCCTTTAATACTACCGTCATACTTGCCTTTCCCAGCTTGGTCCTATACCCACTTCATGATGTACCTTACTCATTTCCAGGGTCTGCTCCATTCCTGGCCTCAGCCCTACTTTTCTCCCCTTCCATCTTTTTATGAGAAGGTGACTAGATTGTTGTCAATATACATGATTATAAAGGATTTAGGTGGGGAAGACCCTGAGGAAGAAATGGGGAAGGAAATGAATTTGAAGGCCAGGTTGTAAAGAACCCTTCCCTACCTCCTTCTTGAACATTGGAGTCTAAGAGCAGAATATCTGATTGGCAGCTCTTTCTTTTTTCAAACAATATTTTAATATTTATTAAAAAATTAGTATTCATGCCAGGCACAGTGGTGTACTCCTATAATCCCAGTGGCTCCGGAGGCTGAGGCAGGAGAATTGCAAATTCAAAGTCAGCCTCAGCAAAAATCGAAGCACTAAGCAACTCAGTGAGACCCTGCCTCTAAATAAAATACAAAATAGGGCTGGGAATGTGGTTCAGTGGTCAAGTGCCCCTAAGTGCAATCCCTGGTACCAAAAAAAAAAAAAAAAAAGAAAAAGAAAAAAATTGGTGTTCATTAATGACTTGCTCTAAAAGGATCGAAAGGAAGTAAGTGTCAATAACAACACTGAAAATATGCAGGACAATCTGCTTTAACAGGTCATGAGGCCACATATTTCCTAGAAAAACTACAAATGCCATAATTTCATGCTTCTTTAAGGCTGAGTAATATTCCATTGTGTATATGTACCACATTTTCTTTATCCATTCATTTGTTGAAGGGCATCTAAGTTGGTTCCACAGTTTGGCTATTGTGAATTGAGATGGCAGCTCTTTCATTTACCGGCATGACCACTATTTATCTTCTTTCTGAGAATCTAGTCTTCAAGTTTCCACTTGCTCAATATCTCTCTGCTGAGTCTACTGAAGGAAGGGGCTAAGGGATATGAGGAATTATGACCCTGACCTGCCTTCTGATGCTGATGCTGCTTATGTTGTGAAGAAACCTTTAGCAATCAAGGATGTATAGGATTGGAGGTGAGGCAGTGTCCATTAATTGAACAGTGAGCATGTTGAGGAAGAAAGGAGAAAGCTCCATAGATAGGAAAGAGAGATGGAGAAAGAAAAGAGAATATCTCACAAGAGAGAAATGTCCTAAGAGACCAGGTGAAGAATATGGTATAGAGGAGAAAGGGGGCCATCCCTGAGGCTTCACCCTGGAACTAGAGGCCTGGGGAGCCATGCCCAAGGCTTTCCTTACCACTTCGAAGTCCACCATGGCTGGAAAGTTGCAAGGCTCTCTCAGGGCAGTTCCAGCGGTCCCAGGCAAACTGGTATTTGCATTCTTCAATACCACTCTGAGCACCTGCTGCCACACTGCTGGAGTAGATCAGGTAAGCCTACAGGAATATGAGGGGGAGGTCAAAGTTCAGTCTGAATTCAGGAGGCATTTGCCCCAAACTTGCCAAGCACCTCTCTTCATGCCCATTCCCCCATCCCTCCAAAATAGTGGCAAAGCAAGTACTTTAAATATATCATCTCATTTAACATTACCAGTAGTCTTGTGAAATAGGTGTCATTTTATAACTTAGGAAACTGAGGTTCAGAGAGGGGAGGTCATTTTCCCAAGGTCCCACAAGTAGCAAATGGCAGAAAGTAATGAAACACAGTTTTATCAGATTCTAATTCCATTAGTCTTTATTCATTATACTAAATTGCCTCTCCAAAATGAGTCCCAATCACATAATTCCTGAAATTTCAGCTGTTCTCATCCCATTATTATCTTAGAAAATAACATTTTGGACCTGGCAATGTTCTTCCATGTAGAGATCACGTAGTACAATTTCGTTTTTTTTGTTTGACTCTATGGGACACTTTAGAAGGTACTTCTCTAATTTYGTGTTACTGAGGATTGAATCCAGGGCTTCATGCTTGCTAGGCAAGCACTCTACCACTGAGCTACACCTCAGCCCTTATATTTATTCATTTTTAAAATTTTTAGACAGAGTCTCACTAAGTTGTCCAGGCTGACCTCAAACTTGAGCTCTTCCTGCTTCAGCTTCTGAGTAGCTGGGATTACAGATGTACATCACCACACCCAGCAGTACTCCTGTTTCTGTCTGTGCTCTGATATTAGTTTGTGGGTGGTTTGGGTATGTCCCAACCCTCTCTGAGTCTCAGTTTTTCTATCTTTAATATATACTACTGCATAATAAAAGGCATGCATATAATGCAAAGAAAGCCACATGTATCATCTTCTGTCAACCAATTAAGATTATCGATGTCCTTATTAATCAAAGGAATTTTTTCTTACTTTTGGACCAGTCATCAGGAAATTGTTTACTGACCTAGAAGAAAGAAAAAACATAGGATATAATGGAGAGACACCAACTTATTTCTGCTTCCAAGACTTATAAGGATTACTCCAGTAAATGTAATTGGTAGAAATAAAGAGAAACTAGTTTACCAAGGAAACATGCATAATAAAACTACTAAAGGTAACTTACTTAGTAAAAAATAATGTGAATAAAAGTAGTATGGTTTATTTGGATTTTAAGGTCACTCATAACTACCAATATTATAAAAACTGGAAGTAATGTTTGATTATTTTGCTATGAATGGGGAGAGAACTAATATAAATTCACAACTGCATACCAGACACTGCATTCTCAGGGATTTACAGCTGATCTTGTTCAATCCTTACTGTTGCAGGGCATTATTGTCTGTATTTTACCAATAGGGAATCTGAGACAAAAAAAATGTTCAAGTTCACTCAGATAATAAGTGAATGAGGCAGGACTTGAATCTAGGTTCATTTGACTCCATGGGACACTTTAGAAGGATACTTCTCTTACTGGGAAAAGGTAAACTGTAAAAGATCTCTTTAGAGTTTGAGTCATAATTAAATTCTAAAACTAAAAATAATTGACGCTAGAATATGATTTGGTCTTCCTTTTTTCTGCAGTACAGAGTAGTGTTCACATGCTAGCTGAACACTCTACCACTGTTCCACACCCCCAGACCTGGGGGTTCCTTTTAAAACTAAAATGGATTTTCTATAGGACTCAGCAGCTGCTGTCTTAGGTGTGTATTCCAGAGAAATGAAGAATTATTTTTACTCATGCATTTGTCCTCTGATGTTCATAGATTTTTTTCATAATAGTCCCAAATTAGAAACTATCTAAATGTCTGTTAAAGTGTGAACAATGTGTAAAGAACCTTGGCACAGCCATACCATGGAATGCTTTTCAGCAATAAGAAGGAATGAACTATTAACAAACACAACAACTTGGATGGATCTCAAGGAAATTAGACTGAACCATTAAAGTCAATCTCAAAAGGATACATACTGCATGATTTTATTTATGTAACAATAGTGAAATAATGTAATTATAGAGCTGAGTACAGACTAGTGGTTTCTAGGGATTTAGAAGAGGGGAATGGATGTGGCTATTAAGAATAAAATGAGAGAATCTTGGAATGATAGTAGGGTTAAGTGTCTTGTCTGAAGTAGAGGTTATACATGATTATAAATGTGACAAAATTGCATTAAGCTGCATGTGTGCTCACACACACACACACACACACACACACACACACACACGCACCCCTACAAGGGAAGAAGCTCTAAAGGTATTGTACCATATTTGTAAGATGTTAACACTGGGGGAAGTTGTGAAAAGGGTGTGTGGATAGAACTTCCCTGTACATTTCTTTGCAACTTTTGCAAATCCCTAAATATACAAAAATAAAAAATATATATATACTTAGATATACACAAACATACATGATTTGCAGTAATAGAGATTTGGAGAATGACTTCAGAATTGGCATTTGAAAATTAATCAAAATATATTACCTATTATCTTTCTTTTTCCATTGTAATATAAGGAAGTAATCTGGGAATCATTATGTATTGTTTCATGAAAGTTGGTGTACCCTTGGGCTGGGATGTGGCTCAAGCGGTAGCGCGCTCGCCTGGCATGCGTGCGGCCCGGGTTCGATCCTCAGCACCACATACCAACAAAGATGTTGTGTCTGCCGAGAACTAAAAAATAAATATTAAAAATTCTCTCTCTNCCGGGTTCGATCCTCAGCACCACATACCAACAAAGATGTTGTGTCTGCCGAGAACTAAAAAATAAATATTAAAAATTCTCTCTCTCTATCTCTCTCTCCTCTCTCACTCTCTCTAAAAAAAAAAATAAACAAATAAAAAAAACATATTTAAAAAAAAAAAAAAAAGAAAGTTGGTGTACCCTTAATTCTGAGATACACCTAAATGCAATAGGATACACCTAAATGTATCTGGTAAGATACACCTAAATGCAAGATAAGATACACCTAAATGTATCTGATAAGATACATCTAAAATGCAAAACAATATTAACAAATTGGGAGGTTGCCAGTAGAGAAAATAAAAATATTTTGAAAGGCAAAAGCCATAGAAAATAATAGAAGACTACAGAATCTCAAAAAAAACCAAGGCCCAGTTTTTAAGATGCTTTATTTGTTCTTTTTAGTTATACATGACAGTAGAATGTATTTTGACATATCATACATACATAGAGCATAACTTCCCATTTTTATGGTTGTACATGATGTGGAGTTACACTGGTTATATATTCCTATATAAATACAGGAAAGTTAATTCCTATTCATTCTACTATCTTTCCCATTCCCATCTCCCCTCCCTTCTCCCCATTCCCTGCTGTCCAGTCTGCTGAACCTCCACTACCCACTGCCCCTACCTATTGTGAGTCAGCATCTGTGTATCAGAGAGAACATTTGGCCTTTGGTTTTTTTGAGATTGGCTTATTTCACTTAACATGATAGTCTCCAGTTCCATCCATTTACCAACAAATGCCATAATTTCATTCTTCTTTATGGCTGAGTAATACTCCATTGTGTGTATGTACTGCATTTTCTTTACCCATTCATCTGTTGAAGGGCACCTAGGTTTGTTCCATAGCTTAACTATTGTAAATTGAGCTGCTATAAACATTAATGTGGCTTGTCACTATATATGCTGATTTTAAGTCAGCATACTATAGACCAAGGAGTGGGAGAACTAGGTCAAATGGTGGTTCCATTCCAAGTTCTCTAAGGAATCTCCATCATCATGCTACCCAGATTGGGTGCCATTCAAAGGGTTTATGGCATCCTTTATTCTTGACATCTCTGCTTCATTATTTAATAAAGATCTCAAACATAACATGGTCAAAACGGAACTCCTGCTTGTTGCTGCCACCGCCACATTCTTCTTCTGTAGTCCATCTAAGTAAAGGACTGTTCCTCCTAGTGGCTCAGACAAAAATCTTGGAGTGTCATCTTTGACTCCTTTCTTTCTCTCATATCCTGTATTCAATGCCCTCAAATCTGGCCAGTTCTAGTTCAAAATATATCCAGAATATAACCAGTTCTCAGCATCTTCACTGCTATTATCCTAGTTCAAATTGTCATCATCTCATATCTGGATTATTATTATAAAAGTCAACTAATTGATTTCCTTTCTTTTATCCTTGTTCTTCCACATTTTATTCTGAAAATGATTGCTCCCCTTAAAGATTAATGCCTTTAAAATACAAATAAAATTTTTGCCACTTTCTATTACAAATCCTCTAATAGATATCTTTTTTAATATATTTATTTTTTAGTTGTACMTAATACCTTTATTTTGTTTATTTATTTTTATGTGGTGCTGAGGATTGAACCCAGGCTCTCGCACATGCTAGGTAGGCGCTCTATCGCCGAGCACCAGCGCTCTATCGCCGAGCCCCAGCCCCAGCCCCAGCCCCCTCTAATGGATTTCTATCGTGTGCAGAGCAGAAGTCAAATTCTTATCATGGTTCATAAGATCCTAACCCAGGCCTCAGACTGAGCTCCTCCTACCCAACTATGGCCACCTGGTCTCCTTTGTTTCTCAGACTCATCAGGCACCTTCCAGCCTCCAGGTGGCTGCACCTGCATTGTCTCTTCCTGGAAAACTTTTTACTCAGCTATCTACATAGCTTGTCCCTTCACCCATAGCAGCCTTTTACTCAAATGTGTCATCCTCCTTAGGACTTTCCTTCACCTATTTAGAATCACAACTCCTTCCCTCCTCTTTCTCTGCTTTATTTATTTTTTTTAAATATGGGCACTTTTTTAAAAAAATCATTGGAATTCCTTACATTATACATATGCATTTGTTTACACGTTGCTTCTTCCCGTTAAACCTTAAGTTCTAATAAGGCAGATCTTGGGGAGAGGAGTTCCGTATTGTTCACCAAATAKTACCAGTGCCTTGAACGTTACCTGGGGATAATAAGCTTTCAATAAATATTTTTTGAATGAAAGAATAAAGGAACTCACATTTTTGGGTGGGAGTAGGAATAAACATTGTCTGAGGACACTAGGTAAATAGTTTGTGTCTACGGTTTTCACTACCATGATTATACAATGTCTCACAAATCTTCACCTTCAGCCCTGACTACTATATTGAAATCTAGAGTTGCATTTCCAAATGAATGCTAGATTTCTCTACTAGAGATGTTTCAAATTGTTAAAACTGTATATCTAAAAGCTAACTCATCTTCTCTGTCAAACTAGYCACTGCTCTTGGCTTGACTGATTTTTGGTAATGGGACCAACATTTAAAAAAAATCAATCAGTTATCAAGACCTGTAGGTATTGTATTTCCATTTTCTTTTTTACATATCCATTCCCTCTTTTCTACTCCCACTAGCACAGTCTTGTAGCCATGGTAGGAGTTCCACTGACTTTTCTCCTTCTAGTCTTTAACTCATTCCCATCAAGTATATAGTGTGAAGTTAGATCAATCTTCTGAAAACCCAATTCTGATGTTATCCTTCTGCTCAAGAATCTTCCATAGCTCTCCAACTTTTGCAACTCAAGATTCTCCATAATCTGACCCTACGTATCTTTCCAGCTTCTTTCATCATGAAATATCCCTACGTGCTCAATTCTATAGTCAGGATGAACCAGTCACTATTCCTGGCATTCATGCATTCATGCCTCTGTGTCTTAGCTCTTGTTGTTCTATTAAATTTTACCTTTTAGGATTTTCAACCATTGATGCTGGGACAACTGTATATCCACATGCAAAGAATGAAGTTGGATTCTTACCTCACTAACCACATAAAAGTTAACTCAGAATAAAGCACAGACCTAAATGTAAGAGCTGAAACTATGAAAATCCTAGAATAAAGCATAGGTTTAAATTTTTGTGACCTAGGCAATAATTTTATAGATAAGATACCCAAAGTACAGTAACAAAAGAAGGCATTTGATATTGGACTTCAACAAAATTAAAAATTTTTGCCTCTCAAAAGACACCATCAAGAAAGT